GAAATCAAAATATGCATAGAAATGAATGAAAATGATAACACAACAACCCAAAACCTATGGGACACTGTAAAAGCAGTGCTAAGGGGAAGATTCATAGCATTACAGGCCTACCTCAAGAAACAAGAAAAAAGTCAAATAAATAACCTAACTCTACACCTAAAGCAACTAGAGAAGGAAGAAATGAAGAACTCCAGGGTTAGTAGAAGGAAAGAAATCTTAAAAATTAGGGCAGAAATAAATGCAAAAGAAACTAAAGAGACCATAGCAAAAATCAACAAAGCTAAAAGCTGATTTTTTGAAAAAATAAACAAAATTGACAAACCATTAGCAAGACTCATTAAGAAACAAAGGGAGAAGAACCGAATCAACAAAATTAGAAATGAAAATGGAGAGATCACAACAGACAACGCTGAAATACAAAGGATCATAAGAGACTACTACCAGCAGCTCTATGCCAATAAAATGGACAACTTGGAAGAAATGGACAAGTTCTTAGAGAAGTATAACTTTCCAAAACTGAATCAGGAAGAAATAGAAGATCTTAACAAACCCATCACAAGCAAGGAAATCGAAACTGTAATCAGAAATCTTCCAGCAAACAAAAGCCCAGGACCAGATGGCTTCACAGCTGAATTCTACCAAAAATTTAGAGAAGAGCTAACACCTATCTTACTCAAACTCTTCCAGAAAATTGCAGAAGAAGGTAAACTTCCAAACTCATTCTATGAGGCCACCATCACCCTAATTCCAAAACCAGACAAAGATGCCACAAAAAAAGAAAACTACAGGCCAATATCACTGATGAACATAGATGCAAAAATCCTTAACAAAATTCTAGCAAACAGAATCCAACAACATATTAAAAAAATCATACACCATGACCAAGTGGGCTTTATCCCAGGAATGCAAGGATTCTTTAATATCCGCAAATCAATCAATGTAATACACCACATTAACAAATTGAAAGATAAAAACCATATGATTATCTCAATAGATGCAGAAAAAGCCTTTGACAAAATTCAACATCCATTTATGATTAAAACTCTCCAGAAAGCAGGAATAGAAGGAACATACCTCAACATAATAAAAGCTATATATGACAAACCCACAGCAAGCATCACCCTCAATCGTGAAAAATTGAAAGCATTTCCCCTGAAATCAGGAACAAGACAAGGGTGCCCACTCTCACCACTACTATTCAACATAGTTTTGGAAGTGTTGGCCACAGCAATCAGGGCAGAAAAAGAAGTAAAAGGAATCCAGATAGGAAAAGAAGAAGTGAAACTCTCTCTGTTTGCAGATGACATAATCCTCTACATAGAAAACCCTAAAGACTCTACCAGAAAATTACTAGAGCTAATCAACGAATACAGTAAAGTTGCAGGATATAAAATTAACACACAGAAATCTCTTGCATTCCTATACACTAACAATGAGAAAACAGAAAGAGAAATTAAGGAAACGATACCATTCACCATTGCAACAAAAAGAATAAAATACTTAGGAGTATATCTACCTAAAGAAACAAAAGACCTATACATAGAAAACTATAAAACACTGATGAGAGAAATCAAAGAGGACACAAACAGATGGAGAAATATACCGTGTTCATAGATTGGAAGAATCAATATTGTCAAAATGGCTATACTACCCAAAGCAATCTATAGATTCAATGCAATCCCTATCAAACTACCAACGGTATTTTCACAGAACTAGAACAAATAATTTCACAATTTGTATGGAAATACCGAAAACCTCGAATAGCCAAAGTAATCTTGAGAAAGAAGAATGGAACTGGAGGAATCAACCTGCCTGACTTCAGACTATACTACAAAGCCACAGTCATCAAGACAGTATGGTACTGGCACAAAGACAGAAATATAGATCAATGGAACAGAATAGAAAGCTCAGAGATAAATCCACGAACCTATGGTCACCTTATCTTCGACAAAGGAGGCAAGGATATACAATGGAAAAAAGACAACCTCTTTAACAAGTGGTGCTGGGAAAACTGGTCAACCACCTGTAAAAGAATGAAACTAGAACACTTTCTAACACCATACACAAAAATAAACTCAAAATGGATTAAAGATCTAAATGTAAGACCAGAAACTATAAAACTCCTAGAGGAGAATATAGGCAAAACACTCTCCGACATAAATCACAGCAGGATCCTCTATGACCCACATCCCAGAATTTTAGAAACAAAAGCAAAAATAAACAAATGGGACCTAATGAAACTTAAAAGCTTTTGCACAACAAAGGAAACTATAAGCAAGGTGAAAAGACAGCCCTCAGATTGGGAGAAAATAATAGCAAACGAAGCAACAGACAAAGGATTAATCTCAAAAATATACAAGCAACTCCTGCAGCTCAATTCCAGAAAAATAAATGACCCAATCAAAAAATGGGCCAAAGAACTGAACAGACATTTCTCCAAGGAAGACATACGGATGGCAAAAAAACACATGAAAAGATGCTCAACATCACTCATTATTAGAGAAATGCAAATCAAAACCACAATGAGGTACCATTACATGCCAGTCAGGATGGCTGCTATCCAAAAGTCTACAAGCAATAAATGCTGGAGAGGGTGTGGAGAAAAGGGAACCCTCTTACACTGTTGGTAGGAATGCAAACTAGTACAGCCACTATGGAAAACAGTGTGGAGATTCCTTAAAAAGCTGGAAATAGAACTGCCATATGACCCAGCAATACCACTTCTAGGCATACACACTGAGGAAACCAGATCTGAAAGAGACACGTGCACCCCAATGTTCATCGCAGCACTGTTTATAATAGGCAGGACATGGAAGCAACCTAGGTGCCCATCAGCAGACGAATGGATGAGGAAACTGTGGTACATATACACCATGGAATATTACTCAGCCATTGAAAAAAATTCATTTGAATCAGTTCTAATGAGATGGATGAAACTGGAGCCCATTATACAGAGCGAAGTAAGCCAGAAAGATAAAGACCATTACAGTATACTAACACATATATATGGAATTTAGAAAGATGGTAACGATAACCCTATATGCAAAACAGAAAAAGAGACTCAGATGTATAGAACAGACTTGTGGACTCTGTGGGAGAAGGCGAGGGTGGGATGTTTCAAGAGAACAGCATTGAAACATGTATATCTAGGGTGAAACAGATCACCAGCCCAGGTTGGATGCATGAGACAAGTGCTCGGGCCTGGTGCACTGGGAAGACCCAGAGGGATCGGGTGGAGAGGGAGGTGGGAGGGGGGACCGGGATGGGGAATACATGTAAATCCATGGCTAATTCATTTCAATGTATGACAAAAACCACTGCAATGTTGTAAAGTAATTAGCCTCCAACTAATAAAAATAAATGGAAAAAAAATTAAAAAAATAAAAATAAAAAAAAAATATTTGGAGAACAAAATTAAGTGTGACAAGAGAAATAAACTCTAGAGAAGGGTTGAAAGATTAAATGAAGAAAATTCCCTTGAGTGCAGAGCGAAAAAAACAGATGGACAAGGAAGTCTAACATCCTATAAGTAAAGTGTTAGAAAGAAAGAACACAGACAATGAATGAGGAGGAATTCATTAAATAAATAATCTGAGAAAATTTTCCAGAGCTGAAGGATATATTTTTTTACAATGAAAGAGGCCAGCACAGTAGATGAAAATAGTCTTCTACTAAAATGCAATATTACAAAATTTCAGAACACTGGAAGAACAAAATGATTCTTAAATCTTTTAAAGAGAAACAATGACTAAGAATTAGAATTGTATGAAATTTGCCCATAGAAACGCTGGCAGCTAAGAGAAAGTGCAGCACTGCCTTTGGAAATCTCAAGAGACGTGATGTCCAGCCTGGATTGTTACAGCCAGTCAATCTATTAAGCATTGGTGTAGAGAGAGAGACTCTAAGACATATACATTTCCCTGCCTTAGAAAGTTACCTTGGTTGTATTCCACCAAAGGAATAGACCAAAAAGAGAGAGAGAGAGCAAGAGACATGAGATTCTGGAAGAAAGATACTCACACAAGGGAGGGGTGAAAGGAGTCCATTGGATAGTGGTGAAGGGAATTCCTAAGATATGAACTGTACAGCTTTCTAGAGAGCTGTCAGTCCAAACTAGAGCTGATGAGAAGGCTCTAGGAGAGGAGAGACCTTCAACTATAGAACAGTAAAAGCTCTCGACTATACAGGGAGGAGATTTACCCAACTGCGGAAATTTGGAATATATCCATGGTAATTAAGCAATGAAAAAAGGAAACAATTATTAACTGTGGTTGGGTGGAAGCTTGCAGGAAGGGAAATGTCCTACAAGACTCAACTGTAAAGAATATATAATCAAAAAAATTAAACATTAAATACTGAGCTAAGAAAAATTATATTCAAGTATATTGGGGGAATGGGGATAAATGAAAAGAGCTATATTTTAATCTTCTGTGGTCAGAAGCAAATACCTAAAATTGAGAAAAAAAATATGAATATCATTTAGAGATATGGAGGTTAAATACCACCCCTGCCAAAATAAACAAAAATGCAACACACACATGCGCGCGCGCACACACACACACACACACACACACACACACAAACCCACAAAAACAAAATGAGCTCCAAAAATGTCACAAGTGGTTACCTCTGGGAGATAGGAGCTGCTATTTTTTTGCTGCTTTATTTGGTTCTTTATACTGTATGTATATATAGCAGATAAAACTAGTAATTTTAAAAAATACACAAACTTGCATAAATCAAATTGCAGTGTAGTAAAACAGCTTACAATTTGAGCTAAAGAACCCTTCTAGTAAGCTTCTATATCATGTTTATTTTGCAGTGTATAAATTTGACTCTTAAGTCAAAATTTGGCACATCTAAATTGTGGTTTAAGCAATAATCACTTAAAAAACTAAATTAATAATTAGGAAATAGCAACTTAAAGTAATAATAGTTGCCTGTGACATATGTGCTACAATATAGTGTCTTACATTATTAATTTTCTTTTTTTTACACAGAACTCTCCCAGTTACTGCTTTGTGACCTTACCCTACATTTCAGTCATCCCATGAAGACAGATGACTTAAAAGAAACAGAGAGAAATAGCCCCCACTTTGAAGAGTCTAAAATGCCAGATGTATCCCTTGCTTCTGATAGCTTTTTAATCTGATTTTTTATTTATTTGTTGTAAATTTGTGACTTTTTATTGTTGAATTAACCCATTTATAGGAGAATTGAGTTTACTAATATATTCAATTAAAAAAATAAAAAATGTGTTGAATTATAAATAATCATTTCATGCTTTGGTAGGCTTCTCTTGTTTTAATGTTCCAAGAAATGGCTAATTTATTTCACCAATGGCAAGAGTATTACATAGGAAGTTGGTCATGGAGTGCTGCTCATCCCATCCTCTATGCTTGAATTTGGCTTAGGTTGAAAGAGAGTTACTAAATTATAAATGTATGGTATGAATTTATTTAATCAGGTGTCTCCTGGTAGCAAGTGTCAAAAACAACTCAAACTAGCTGAATCATTTATTAGGTCATGTGCCTTGAAAGTTCATGGTTGGGATAGAGTTCAGGGCCTTCACTAATTCATCAGATATCTCTGCCCTGGTTCTGTTTCTGTGCACTGGTCTACATCCTTTCCTATTAAAAACATCACTTCCATATAACAGGTAGAAGAGAGTAGAGGTATGGTGGGTCTACAGCATTATCTTTTGGAGACCCCAGAGAAAAGAGAGATCCTCTGTCTTAGCCTCTGTGTTTAACAATCCAGAGAAGGGTCTTGACTAGGCCAGCTTCAATTAAGATGGGTTCTAAGCAACTATGTTTGGTGAGGCTGGGATTTATGCCAGGTCAGTGGAAAAGGAGCAGGCATCCTGTTCAGTCACTCAGTTGTGTCCAACTCTTTGCGACCCCCATGGATTGTAGCTCACCAGGCTTCTCTGTCCATGGGATTTCTCAGGCAAGAATACGGAAGTGAGTTGCCATTTTCTCCTCCAGGGGCTCTTCCCAACCCAGGGATCAAACCTGCGTCTCCTGCATTGGTAGATTCTTTACCACTGAGCCACCTGGGAAACCCTCTAGAGAAAGAAAGCCCTCACCAAAAGAATAGAGTGGCCATGGCCTGAAGAAGGGAGGAAGACTGCTAGTCATAAAAACACCAGATACTCCAGCTCATTTCAGTTATTGCAGTGGAATAGGTTTTCTACCCCTTTCCACCAACAGCAACTTAAAATAATAAGCATTTGTTTACCTTGTAAACATTATTCACTACCAGATAGTTGCTTTGAAATCTACTGTTCTTACATTTTAGAAATTTTTGAACATTAAGTATAGAATACCATGAAGCAAGGCACAAGGTCAGCTCACTCCGTACCAGAACCCGTCGAGTTTTCTATGCTCAATACCCAGCACCCAGCTCAGTGCACAGAATAAACATGAAATAAATGCTTATTGAATATCCTATTGAATAAACACGTTGTAAATGATGCAGGTTTTTCAGTTTTAGAATTACTGAGTTCTAGGTCCTGATTTGAGAACTTCTAAAGGATGAAGTTTTGTGAAGCATCTTGTCTATCATCATTGATTAAAAGTCCACAGATTCGTTATCTTGGCAAATCATCACTTTTAACTAGATGACTTCCAATATCTCTTCCAGTGGTCTTTCTACAAGCTCATGAAAATTAAAATACAAAATATTATTTGTGGCTTATAAAACTCATAGATAAAACCAAGAAGACAAAAAATTTTGTTATTAATACAAGTTGTGGAATAACAACCAAGGAAAACTTAAGTGAATGTGAAGTTTTCGTCTTGTGAAATTGCTTACTATTTTTTATTAAATGAGATATGTAAATTGAATAAAAGAATTGAATTGCTTTGAAGAATTTATAAAGCCTTTTGGGGAAGGGTGAAGATAATGGCTTTATGACAGATGGCAGGGGGGATAAACATAGAAGAAAGGTATCTAATTGGAAAGTCTTATTAAGCTTTTCCATGTATACAGAAATTGCTATTTCATCTTCCCAGGAAGACATTGATAAAAATCACATCACTTGATACTTTTGGAGTTGGGTAGAGGTGGAAGAGATAGGATGAGGATGTCAGATGTGATGAAATTAAATCCGATGTATTTGATGCCAAAGTCTCATTCTAAATTTAAAATGTTTTCTTTTGGTATTTGTAGCTTAAATTTGCTTTAAAACAGGAAAATAATAGCTAAATAATTAAATAAAGTCAATAAGTTCTTTTAGGAAGCAAAAAGTGAAGCAGAAGGCAAATTAATTTTAATTCTAGGAAGTTATTCCAACATGCATTTATCTTTTTCATAAAAAAAGTATACAAAAAATCCCCACCCTCCAGCAAAAACATGAAATAAGAAAGGATGAAATGTTTTTGAAGCTTCTTAAATTATTGCTGCCAAGAAACTGAATTTTAGTAATTTTCAAATTATACATATAAAATTGATGATTGCCTTTGACTGACAAAGGATTGGCTAGTTAAAAAATCAGTTTCATGTGTTATCAAAATCTGTTACCATTTCAGTGTTTCTAAACTTGCCCCAAATTGTTTCTATAGGTGTGCAAACTAATGTACTTGGACATGGGTATTCAAAGATACACATGTTTTTAAAATGAATCATTACAGTGCACTGTTAGACTTCAAGTGTGAACATTATTACTCATGCACTTTACAAACATTGAAGAAAAATAAATAAATTATGGGCTATTTGACAGTCTTCATTTCAAACACTTTCATAAGTAAAAGGACAAAACACTTCTGTTCATATTGAAGGGGTTCAATTCAGTCCTAAGGGTTTGGCCGTTCACCAAGGTTGACTGATCTCCCCATGGTGGGACAGAGGCAGAAGGAAGGTTCATTTGCTTGGCTAACTTGCTAGGGATAACCTGCAGAATACGTTAACGTGCACTGGTATCTGGAACCTCGGTTCTTTCCATCAATAAGCAGAAGCGGCATTTTTCTGAAGTAGTCGATAATATCTGACACAGACAGAAAGTCCTGAAAGAGTCAACATAGGAAGAAAATCAGCACTGGAATGTAGTATGAATTTCGCAGTTTTTTTTTAATCTACATAATGTCCTACCTCTTATACTATGAGGATTATCAGTCTATGTAAAATTTGGCAAAGATTTTGATTTCTGCTATGGAACTTTGAAAAAAATTCCTCACCAACATTCAGCAAACTATGGATAAAAGACATAGTATGTATTTATGTATATGTATTTTTAACTTCATGTAGGGGGTTATATATATTATATACGGAGATAGAGGGAGAGTCTAATTATGATAGCTTTACCTTAGGATTGTTCTTTTTATTTTTTATTCAAATATAGTTGATTTATAATGTGTTAGTTTCTGATGTACAGCAAAGTGATTAAGATATATGTATATTCTTTTTCATATTGTTTTCCATTATGGTTTATCATAGGCTATTGAATATGGGGCCTCATCATTTATCTCTCTTTCTTTTTTTTTCTATGTACAGTAGATAAAAGTTTTATTAGACTGCAGAATGTTGTTTCATGGAAATTAAGATAAACATGTTTCACACAAGACATTTTGCCATGAAGTGAAGTGAAGTTGCTCAGTCGTGTCCGACTCTTTGCAACCCCATGGACTATAGCCTACTAGGCTCCTCGGTCCATGGGATTTTCCAGGCAAGAGTACTGGAGTGGGTTGCCATTCCCTTCTCCATATCTCCCTCTTTTTCTAAGGACACCAATCATTGGATCTCAGGAGGATTGTTCTATCTGTGACTTGGTTTTGGGTTTTGTGCCCCTCCTTTAAATCACTAACAATGTTAGGAGATATAGGAATCAGGAGGTCAGACAGCATCTCTGTTGTCTGAAGATGACATCTGTAGTGTGGCATAGTCGTTCCTTCATGATATCTGCTGTGTCCCCGCTGCCACCTCCACACTCACAAGAGCTCTGTAGTGAGTCCTTTCACTCATCACCTGTATCACCCTTTCCCTGAGGGCCAAACTGAGAAACCCCCATCCGTACATTTAGAACTGAGTCAGATGTTACCGAGGTACCCCAGACAGAGTTGCACACTTCCTCCAAGACGACTCTTCTAGGTGCCTCCCTCCAGGGCAACGGCAATGAGTGGTTTGTGTGTGTGTGTTTCCACACACACAAGACCAGTAAAGACATCTCTGCTTCTACGGGACCTATGCAGCTCTACCCACCCCGAACCAGTGATTCAAACATATGACCAAAATCATATGTGTTTTCTACTGGCTTACATAATCATAACTTAAAAATATTTGGAGTGAAGTAGAAGTTATGGGTAAGTTGTGTTTCCTTCTGGAAATGTTTGATACAGCTGATCCTCCTCCTGGAACTTTGAACTTAAAAAAACACATTTGAAGCATTAGGTTTAGCCATAGTTTCCTTTGCAAAAAGCAACCCTGAAAGGTTTTCTTTACATAGTTCTCATTACTACCCCGAAAGGGACTAGTATACACCTTGGAGAAACAGAGGGAAATGTTTTTGGCAATTTGCACAGCTTCATTGGCCTAACCTCCATTTTTAGGGAGAAATGACCCAAGTCATTTTTCCAGATGTTCATTTAAGACACGGCCTTATAAGTACACTGTACCCTTACATCAAAATCATGTCACAGAGGTGACTTTAACTTACTTCTGAGTCATAAAAGGACTTGCGTTTGGCACTATCTAATGATATTTTTAAGTTAAACATTTTTTAAAGTTACACATGTGATTCTAGACTAGTTGGAATAAAGATGTAAAAAAGACACTGTGGCAGAGGTAGACACTATTAACATTTTATTTCCTTCCAGTAAATGCAGGGTTTCACTAACGCAACTGAACTCTAAAGTTGCCAGGCAGTACGGCCCCGAAAAGAAGGCCACAGCCAGGTTCCGTGCAGGTAGTGTGCAGAGAAGCACACGCAGAAAACTGGGGGAAGCTTGACAACCTGAAACCCTTACCTCTTTCCCTCGGAGTCCAGTTCCCAACAAGTAAACTTGGCTTTCCTCCTGATAACGGATCTGGATGTTGTAAACTTTATCTTTGTACAACACCATGAGAACATATGGATTGGAGATGGTTTTTTTAGAGCTGTCTCTAACCAGGAAAGTGCCATCCTAAAAGCATAAATTCTCGTTATTAGGGAAGTAGCAAAAGTCAAAAATTCTGTTGCCTCTAAGAGCAGCAGACAGTCCTCTAGAGATCTGGAAACCCACCACTTGACAGTTTAGTGAACAGTTAGTTCCCCCAATAGTGGTAACCCCATGTGTCATGGATTTCTTGGTTGTCAAGAAACAGGCAGCAGAGATTATATTGGAGAAATTCCCATATTTCGAAAAGACCTCTTTGAAGTCTCTCAGTGAAAAAGGAATCTCTTTTACAATAATAAATAATAGATGGCTGAGTGGATACAGAGCCAGCAAAATAAGGACTTTAGTGGTCAACTAAAGGTATCTCTTCCTGCTCCTGAGAGTTAATTCTATGCACTTTCTTTCCACGGTAAAAGTCAGAATACACCCAAATACCTAAGAAATGTACCCATTTTAAAACCTCATGGTGCCCAGATACTGCGTTTCATCATCAAACACCTGAAAAAAATCCAATGTGTATCATCCTTTTTTCTTGATGTTTACCAAAATAGTGTGGTGATCTGTCCTATACTTTAAAATTTCATTTCATAAATTAGCTGCATAATATTATAATAATACCATAAAGATCTAATATTAAAATAGAATGAATTAGGAAGAACTCCTTTAAATTACTCCTTCTTCTGTGTATCAAAATCAGGATGATCAATTTGCAAAAATGGCTTTCCTTTGTTCTTTTTTCATTCCAGCTTGAATGAGTAAATTCTAGTCAAAACATCTCTGTTAAATAAATATACCTGTGGATTCACAGCTCTGGCTTCACTTTGGAATTTCAAGTTTTGAAGACTTCCAGAGCCCACATAGCATCCCTGACTAATTAAATCAGAATCTCTCCAGGTAAAATCAGAATTTTTTTTTAATGCTCCGCAAGTGATTTCAATATGCAATCCACTGGTGGTCCAGTGGTTAAGGATCTGCCTGCCAACGGGTTCAATCTCTGGTCCGGGAAGATCGCACATGCCTCGGAGCAACCAAGCCCGTGTGCCACAATTATTGGGCCTGTGCTCTAGAGCTGGGGAGCGGCAATTCCTGAGCCTCTGTGCCTGGAGCCGCGGCGAGAGAAGCCGCGCAGTGAGATGCCTGCACGCCTCAGTGAAGAGCAGCCCTCGCTCACCGCAACTGGAGAAAGCCTGAGCAACAAAGCCCAGCACCACCAAAAATAAATAACTTTTATAAAAGATGGGGAGATGAACATTAATCGCTTCATATCATTAAAAAAAAAAATAAAAGTGCGACCAAGCTTGAGGCTTGAGGACTTTTGTTGTAGCCTCGAGATATGAAGAATGTGAAAGATGAAGGATCTTTGCCTTCCCATCTTTGATATATAGGTTTAAGATTAGTGTTCAAAAAAAAAAAAAAAGATTAGTGTTCAGTACTGGAAGACAGGAAATCTGGTTTAAGACCTTTAATATTAAATGACAATTAGAAATTTCTAGGGAAAAGGACAAAAAGTTGCTGTTGTCTGTCTCAATATGGGTTCCCCCACATTGATATGGATGGCGATTGGGTGTCAAGAGGAAGATACAACTAGTAAGATGTTGGAAATTTGGGGGAAAGAGTTTCCTTTTGATGCTGTGTGGTTCCTGTGAAAAGATGGACCGTTTTCATTAATAAAATCTCCTAAGATTCCACCAATCAAATGACTACCTTAATTTAAATTTTTCCCGGGGTCCAGGGAGCCATTGCTGTGGACATTACTAGGTGAGAAGCTGGCACTAATTGGCACCCGTTGGTATAACAGCATGAATGGCACCCAGCAGGATCCCTAGCCCATAACTGTATGTTCAGTCTGTCTGACTCTTTGAGACCCCATGGCCTGTAGCCCACCAGGCTCCTCTGTCTATGGGAGCTTCCAGGCAAGAATACTGGAGTGGGTTGCCATTTCCTCCTCCAGGGGACCTTTCTGACCCAGGGATAGAACCCAAGTCTCTTGTGCCTCCTGCATTGGCAGGCAGATTCTTTACCACTGCATCCCCTGGGTTTTGTTTTATTGGATGATCTATCCAAACAGTAGGAAGAGAGGTTGTAAAACTAAAACTCTGTTGTTACTTGAAAAGCAGCTATGAAAAGCAAGCTTGAAGCCAGTATCTAAAGCCCATCAAGAAAAGTCAGTCCCATTTCTTTTCTTCTATTTACACTTAAAAAAATGAATTTGTAGCATAGTACCTGGTTTATCTTTCTAAGAGCCGCTTCTGCTTCTGTTCGGGTAATATAAGAAACATACCAGTCTTCATTTAATGAATTCTGAAAATGTAAATTTTAAAAAATGGAATAAATTTTGTAGTTACATAAGTAAGAGGGGAAAAAAAGCCTCCAAGTAATCATTTCCATAAATCACCACCTCAGTTCCATGAAGTTTGAAACACTTGTGTTATTAACTTTGAATATAGAATCATTCAGGTGGAGCTAAGTAGAAGATATTTTGTGTGAACTGCTTTTTAATCATATACTCATTCCCAAGGCAGAGGTGAATAAGCATTTGTAGATAATGGAGTGTCTAATCAGGAAAGATTTAGATGTAATAATTTCTTCAGTTTAGTATAATAATATATTTAATGAAAAACACTGGGTTAATAAGCAGTTAAATGGCTTGTGCTATGTCATAAACTAAGAAACAGATGAAAAATAGAATTATTTTTCTCACTGTTTAATGTGAAACACACATTTGCCATTGGAAGAGAAACGTCAAGGAAAAATAATGTATTTTTCAACTGAATTCTCCTCTCAATATTTTTCACTAAAAAAATAAAGACTAAAAGAAAATAAAAGTATAGGAGAGTATTCAGTGGGAGATTCTGATGATTCATTTGCTGGGGTAGAAATAAAATATGAACATATGCCTTATTACCTCTTCTTCCCCGGGGGATTGTGGTCGATGCTTGCTTGGAACTGGCGAGAAGTTCCTGCCTTCCACTCTGGGAAGTGGTCTGCTGCTAGAGCCTGTGAAAGTATAGCATTTTGAACGTTAATTTACTTTAAGCAATTTTTCTCTAGTCATAACCCATCACTGCACCCCACCCCCCTCCCTGACAATGCCCTTGTAGTTGTTCCCAGCAGTTAACATTTCAAGAAACCATAGCTTCCAAAATAACTTTCACTTGTTCAAAACCACAAGGGCTGCTCGGGCCCTATTCGGCAGCCATGCCAGTGAAATCCTGAGACACTACGCCGCACATTTGATTGTTTGCTTAATTGAGCACGTTACATATATACCAGCAAGTGGTAACAATGTGGAGGTGAAGGTAATTATGTTCTCATTTTCACAAAAAGAAATGTGACTTACCCAAGATAAGGTGAAATTACCTTGAGAATATTCTTCGCTTTCAGAGCCAGAGCTTACTATCTGCTGTTCTTGACCAAATTTCTTACAGAAGTAGAATTGTTAGACTCACATAGAAGGAGGCCCTGACAATATTTGATCCATCAGGAAGTCTGTGTTGGAGTCTGTACATTACCCAACACTTGTGCCTCACCTTCTCTAATGCTTTTTTTCCTTGTTGACAGTTCCATGAAATTTTTCAAGAGAATGTGTTTCCATCTCAGGAAAGGTTTGATTATGTTGATTTGCAATTGCTAAGCTTGTCTCTATATGCCAGAACAGCTATTACAGGCTGGTAAATTCCATGAGTTGAATGTTCTCTTAATAATTCATGCATCATTCATTTGTTCATTCAAGAGATATTTTTTCAGCACTGCTCTGTCCAGGCCCTGATTAAGGCACCTGTGTACACGACCTTTCATCCTCACAGCAACCCCACAAGGTGGGTATTATCTTCTTTTTGAATATCATGAAACAAAGGTCCAAAGAGTCTAACAAATCATGTGTCTTAGTGGCAGGGCCAGGACTTGAACTTGTGATTCCCAAATATGACTGTGCAAAAAAGAGAATTCCAGGGGGACCCTGCATTTAACAAGCACTCCAGTTGGTTCTGCACCAGGTCTGTTACTTCATCTACAATACACCACAGAAGGGTAAACCACCTGCCCCAGGGTCCCTGAGAGGGGAGAGTTTCTTGAAGAGTCCAACTCTTCCTAGTCAGGATTATTCGAGATGCAGATGGGGCTAGCCTGAGCTGCTGATCTTCCTTCTTAAGGCTCCCAGTACCTGAACAGACCTTCCCCATGCCCACCTTTGCAATGCAACATGCAGGCACTTTTATAATGTTGGTTGAGTGAATGAAATCTAGCCAAATGAGAAAGTCATGTAATGAAGGTCTATAGTGCATGGCTGTCTTAGAATTGAGGAATTATTCTCTATCTGCATCTGCAGGTCAGCACCACAGAGTCACTATTCATGACAGACAATACATTACTTTTCATTGCAGTCACCCTCCACCCTTAATATCTAGATCCTCAAGGGAACTGGGACAGGTTTTTAGCCAATATAAAGTGCATCCTTTATCTTCCTGACCTTGGGGCAACCAGTGGGTTAGACTGAGGACCAGGTGTCCTGGCACTCTTAGAAGAAAAGGGATCAATTTTGATTAAGGTAGTAGAGTAAGCCCTCTGCATTCATGGCTTCCACATCTGTGAATTCAGCCAACTACAGATTGGTTCAACCAGTGGGTTAGCCAAATCTGTGAACATGGAACTGTGGATGTGAACGGCCAACTGTGCTACATCATTTTATACAAAGAACTTGAACATCCTTGGATTTTGATATCGGTGGGGGTCCTGGAACCAATCTCCCCTCCTGTATGACAGGGATGATTATATTTAAAAAATAATAATAAATAGCCAACTATTTATATTAATAATCTCTACCACCAACTCATAGAAGCAGGGGTCTATGGAATTTACTTTGGGAGATATTGCTATAAGTGAAATGTCTGAAACTCAGATGCCTAGACGGACCAGGCAAGGAACACAGAGTAGGTTTACAAAATAATGAGTTGTGGCCACTGAGGGGTGGGGGTGGGGGGACTGTGGAAACCATGTAGTGAATAAAGACACTATGTCCTAAAATGCTTAGGAAACACTGAAAATATAGTGGGTTTCATTGGTATCAGCAGTAGAATCTCACACATATATGGCATGATGTACCCAACTAAATGTAATAGACATGCTCCTGAAGAGTCTACTCTTAAGTGAAAATTTAAACTTATTAGTTTTCTGTTTATAACACATACTAGTGTTCCTCCATGTGTACATGACTACAAAAAAAAGTGTTTTATTTTTTCCTCACAGAATTTTTAAGTCTTAAGTCAACCTTTAAAATTTTCACATTAAAAGCCATATTTCTATTTTTTCTTGAAAAAGAAATCAGAAAATCTGGTAACACAAGATGTGTTTCCTAGCATGAGGAAAAAAAATGTTTCCTAGAGTTGGGTGACTCTCCATAGTCATTTGACAGTCATTCAACAAACATTTTAAAGTGCTTACCATGTGCTAGTCACTTGCAAGTCTTCAAGGATAAAAAATAAACACAGCTAGTCCTATCGTGTAGGCCTTTGTTTCTATTTGAAGTGGTCCATGAGCCAGCAATAGCAGCTGGGAACTTGGAACTTGGGAATCACATGGAAACTTGCTAGAAATGCAGAACCTTGGGTCCCATCTAAGACCCACTGATTAGAATCTGCATTTTAACATAGCTCCTAGGTGATTTGCATGCATTTTAAAGTTTGAGGACTCTCTCAAGAAATAGTTATCATGGACACCCAAAGGAGGTATTATTAAAAAATAGAGGTCTTCAGCCAGACTTACTGTATCAGAATCCTGGGGGTTGGGGTCTCTTAATCTGTATTTTAAACATGTTCTTCAACTAGCACTACAGGTTAGATTCATTATAGAAATCAAAACTACAGAGAAAGCTAGCACTATCCTAAGCATCATATAAAAACAGCAGGGAAGAAAAGTCCTGTGTGGGAAGATAAAGGCCATGGCCGCCTTCCTGTGGAAGAGTGTGTGTGTGTGTGTGTGTGTGTGTGCTGTTGTTGTTGTTGTTGTGTGGAGTATCCTTTCACTACAGCACCCTTTGGTACACTTCAGAAACTGAAGTGCTGAATAAGGAAATACTGAATGAGGAAGTCAGATGCTTTTAGGAAACAACAAAACTTTTGCCAAAAGGCTTTGGGACATCCATTCATGACGGCATATTGGCTACAGTAGGTCACTAGAGCCCAGAGTACAAACCTTGAGAGAAGTATGGTGGCAGGGAGGCACTCTGTGAAAAGTTACAGTTACTGTGGAGACAAAAAAAGGACAGATTTTCAGTCGGATTGGGGTTCAAGGGTCAGAGATGGAGCCTGAATTGGGGAAATGCTGCTTCTCTGACTATTACTTCTCACCCCCTCCCTGAAACCATGGGGGGCAGGGCAAAAAGAAGGAACTTGTTGAACATACTTCACTCCTGTCTGAGGAAGACCGTGCCAAAGTCTAACAAGCTTTTCAAGATGAAAAACAAAAGCAACAAGAGAACGGTGTAAAGAGCTTTAAAAGCTACTTTAAAAAAGGAAGCAGCAGTCTGAGGACTCTGAGTCTGGAGCACGACAGACGTTCTCTGGGAGAACGCTTCTCTTTCCGTTAGGAAAATATATTCCATGGGCATGTCGTTAGGGATGGTGAATCCCCGGGCCCGCTGGTCTACATGGAGCGGGGAGGGCGTGAGAAACAGAGGGCTTGGCCGTGCTGCAGCAGGCAGAAAGTGCATCTGCAGGGACAGTGGCGGGGAGGCCTGAAACTCTGTCTGCTCCACGCTGAGCGGCATTTTCCCCACCCTTTAGGCCAAACTTTCTATAGGCCTGCTCTGTTCGGAAATCTCGTGTGAGTGGTGTCTTGAAAGAACGAAGGATAGGGCTGGGCTCAGGGTGGGATGAGGTGGCATAAGAAAGTGGCAGACGTGGCAGAAGAAGCAAAACAACAGGAAGAGTGAGAAGAAGAAGCAGAAAATCAGAGCAAGAGGCACCCGCGGTACATGAAAAAAACTGGGAATCCTTTCAGATATCTAGCAGACCGGAAGCATCTTGCTGGTGGGTGAGCTTCCTTCCATCCTCAGGGGAGGGACTAGGCCTCTCCCTTTGGGTAGTGAAGGAAAAGAGGAGCCCAAAGGCTGGTGGGTGAGCCCTCGGGGGTGCCAGGAGACAGCCTGAGGGCTCATTTATGAGACACGCCCTGAGTCTTCCCCCTGTCTGTGCCTCTCCTGGAAAGCCTGCCTCCTCACGGGCCCTGAGAAACACGCTTGCTACTGAGAAAACAGACCTGCTGGGGACAGAGCCTATACACTGACTATTCCATGTCTGCTAAGTGCAAGGTGCATTGGATGGGTAGTCGCATCCAAGATGGAGGGTGAACTCCAAGTAATTAATTGGGCTTCTTGAGTGTTTGTTTCTTTGTTTTTAACCTACAGAGTTAAAAACATTCCCTGCTTCCTGCCAAAGAGTCCATTCTGTCTGGGGCCATGACATCCTCCCCAGGCATAGCACTCAGAGGACAGCAGTGAGTTATATGTGCATTTGTGCATTCTTCATGCTCAGTCTGGCTTTCTTTCTTAAGACCCAAAACGTTCTGACCCTAAGACTGGTGGCTTATTTCTTTTTTCCTCAACCCAGCTGACATTAGCTCAATATCAGTGGCCCCAGACGTCATGCTAGGTCAGAACTGAATGGTTCAGCACACACCTTTCTGAGAAGCCTCCAGATGAGTGAGTTAATGGGAGGGAGTTCTTGGGCGATGGCTTCGTAGATCTTGAAGGGAAGGTGTTGGAGGTCATGGGGAGAGGTGTTGGCTGGGGCGGAAGTCTTTGATGTACTTCAGAGGAAAAGAAAAAGGAAAAATTGTCAGAATTCAAGAGTCACAGGAACATACATCCCCAAACTACTCCCTGGTTAGAAATAGCTAGTGTAAAGGGAGATACAAAAATTCAAAAGATCAAATGTCATTAGGAAGTGGTGGGGTGGATGCCCACCGCACAAGGTTTTTCTCATGATTTACCACCTCAGAACACAGGTTCAAATGCTGCCATTCCGCATCATTCTCCATAGTACACTTTTTTTTTCATTTTTGAAATGTTAATTTGGCAGAAAATTGTCAGTTAGAAACCATATGAATTTCAGAAATGATTCACAAGTTTTTTTTTTAATGAAAGACAAATTTTATGCTATGTCATTCTTATACGGTGAGTAATCCTTTACCCAAATGCATTAGAGAGCTTAAATACTGGAATGCTGTCTATCATACTGTACGTGTGATTTTCAATTTTGCTGTACTTAGTAAGTATTAATAATTTGCACTGTTATGCATGAACTTAGCAGTTCTCTTTGGTAATCCAGCCAAGTAATTCCATTTTATTATAGTTATACAGTATACCAACTGGCATACATATGCTTAAATTATAATGGATTCTACAGAGTTTCTATACTAACTAATTCCATCTGAATCCCTGAGCAGAAAACTAAAGGAAAGTTTACAAGTCGTAAGAAAGTCTTTCTAAACATACCATCATCTTCATCCTGGTAAGGGGGAGGAAAAAAGAGATATTAATTTATCATCAAAACACAATTTCTCAAAGAAAAATGCATTTCTCAATCATAGAAATGCCTCTGTTTTCTTTCTTTAGCAGTTGTGTGTCTCCACAATAAAGGTACTGTGGAGAACAGCAGAACTTGCTAAATAATTTATGATTCCTTAATACAAATAATCATTTAAAGAAATTCCGATCTGAAACAGTCTTTATATACTTAAATAGGTTCTGAAGTGTCTAAACGGGCCTAGAGATACTAATAATGATGATATCTACTATGTCTCCCAAAGATTCATATGCAATATTTCATCCAATTCTTCAAGCAACTCTTCAAGAATTTAACATTTTCATTTTACAATTGAAAACACGCTGCCCAGGAAGCACGCCTAACTTGCCAAGGGTTACAAAAACTGATTCACACCTAATCCCTCTGACCCAAAGCTTAACCTTCTCTGGGTCTTTGCTTTGTATTGACCACTCTAGTTCAAAGCACTGCAGCCTTGTTCCTCTGTCACCAAGTCGTGTCTGACTCTTCACAACAACCATGGACTGCAGCATGCCAGGCTTCCCTGTCCCTCACCATCTCCCAGAGTTTTTCCAAGTTTATACAGCCTTACTGATTTGAAAATAGCTTCCAAGGTGTGTCCACTCAGTTCAGCACATTTATCTTTAGGACAGCCTTCTGAAATAGATAAGGGAGGGGGCTCTATGTTCTACTCCTTAGATAGGAAATGATGTTCAGAGAGGCAAAAATAATTTTGCCATTGACTAGTAGACCAGAATTGTCAACCTGGACTTGTTAGGCTAGGACAGTAGTGATGAACAAGCACCTTCCTCAAGTGTTGTTGTGAGGATTAAATTAGTTACTACTTGTGCCTGGTATATTTGAGTGCTCAATAAAATTTTGTTATCCTTAGTCCTACCATTGAGATGAGGCAAGATGGATCATAGCCAGAATCACTCATCCAGGTTGGCCAACTGGGAATGAGTCCTAGCAAAGGGCGGCATAAATAAATGCACATGGACTTATGGAATCCCCAGAATGAAACTGGTCTTTGACACTGCTGCAGCCAAGTCTCCTCTGGTCCAAAACATAAGATTTTTAGATTCTCATGACAACAAGTGTCAATCCTTACAGAGATAGGGATCCTTGGGAATATGATAGTATCCTCATTTTCAACCTTCTCTCCTCTTTGTCCCTATGGCTCTGAAACCAAACCGCTGTGCTCACTCTTCTCACAGGCTCCATGGGCACTGCCACCCACCTGCCTTAGTCAGGACATTCCTGAGGCCGAAGGGCACTGAGCTTTTCCTCGGGGTGACTACCCTGTGTCTTCCCCATCATTCAGTGACCACATCACTAAGAAGTCACACTTAGCTCTTCAACCCTGATACATCACTTTCTTCACTTCTCCTCTGTAGCTCATCCTGTGATCATATGCCCCTTAGCACACTGGAGCATATCCATTACATCTAATATCTTAGCACTTCATCTGCATTATATCTCCATTATGTCTTAGCACTTCATCAGAATAAGCATACCATTTAGCACAGAGCTATGAAACAGCAGGCATCTATGGACTGAGCCCTTGAACATGCATGGGCAGTTTACAGTACAGAGGAAGTCAGACAGACCTGGATTTCAATCCTGGCTATCTCCCAGCTGTGTAATTTGCAATGAGTATCTTACCCTTCTAAACTTCAATTTCTTATTAGTGAAAGAGAAACAATGACTCCTCCTAGCGATAGACAATGCAAAGAAAAGGTAAAGTTGGAGTGACTAACTGTCTTGGTCCTCATTTACCTAAGACTGATGAAGTTCTTGGGACATGAGACTTTCATTGCTAAAACTAAGCAGTACTAGACAAACAGTCAGTCAAAAGTAGCTAGGTTGGCAACATGTACACAATATACATTCCATAAACACTCTTTCTTAGGCCATAGAGGTATTTAAGGGGAAAACAGAGGCCTAAGAGACTTTCTGGGAGGCCCAGGCTCTGGAGCACCTCTTACTTTATCCTCCCTTCTACCTACTTGCCACTGCCCTTGCTCACTACCGCCTGGTAATGGGGTTGCATTTAACCCAGCCTCCCTAGGAACTTTCAGAGGGACAGGAGCTAAGCCATGCAGCATTTGGGGCAGGAGGGAAAGCTGGAGACCCCAAAAGACACCAGTATTCAAGAGTCTACTGTGCATAGGCCTGGCTTCTAGCACTGGACTTCAGTGAAGGCTGAGACAGAGCCTCAACCTCTGCAGAGTCTACGCTGGTCTCCCTGGGCCAAGCATTCACCAAATGACATTCTGTACTTACATTTTCTCTTCTCTCTGGTCCCCGCATATGCCTGAAATGAATCAGGGCAAAGAAAAAGAACTGAGCATAAAGAGTTTCAAAGAATATAAACAGTTTCACTTAATCTAATATCGAGAAATCAAACCTACTGAGCTGTAATAAAATGGGAAGCAAAAAAAAAAAAAAAACCAAAATACCCAGAAGAAAAGCAGGAGAGAGAGAGGCTTGATGACTCAATGTTCTGTCATTACTGTAAGCTGAGCTAGGCAAACCTCTATTCTCTTTAGCAACTGCAGCAAATAATTACATTAAAGGAAAAAGGTTTAGTCAGCAAACTCTTTCAGTTCAGTTCAGTTCAGTTCAGTCACTCAGTCGTGTCTGACTCTTTGCGACCCCATGAATTGCAGCAACACAAACTCCCGGACTTTACTAGCAGCTATTAAATTTCACTGAGTGGATGTTTCTCCAAGCAAATATAAGCATTTGAGGAAACATTCTCCTTTGCTGATGTTTGAGAACAGCCATCGTGGGGCTCACCCTTGGTGTGAAGGAAAGACAGCTGGGAAAAGCTGCTGCTTTGGTCCCTTTTCCAGAGGCACAAACTGGCCAGGCAGATGTGGTGGTGGTGGCCTTAGACCCATGGTGGGCAGCAGCCTTCATAGGCTCGCGTCGTGTCCTCACAGAGAGGGCCCGAAGAGGACAGTTTGCTGGCAATTTGCCTCCTGATCAGTGATTCAGATGATCTCATCTTGTTTATTTAAAACTTTGCTATTTTGTTCACTATGATATTTTTGACATACATTTTGATTTTTTAGAATATACCATTAAAACATTAACTCAGTTGCTAAGGTTTTACCTGTGCACCCTAGCCCTGGCCCTGATTTCATCCTAACATTAGCCAAGCAAGGGTCATAATTTTGAATCCTGGTTGCACAGATGAGGTTGATGGAAGCCTTGGTTTTGTCCTTAGTAGGGAACAGAGTTGGGCCTACCCCAGCGATATTTGTGCCATTTGGTTAATAGGTCCTCAGAAGCTGCATAGTAAAGTTAGAAATGTTAGAGCTGGCAGGTGCTCTGCCACTATAAAATGTGGTTGAGCAGTGAGGAAGCTGCTTTCAGAGACCTCAAAGCGGCCACAGTGACGTCCTCTCTACTGCCTGCATGGTTATAAAATGGTAGGTGCAATGCTGCGCCTTGTGGTGGAAGGAAAATTCAACCAAAAATCAGACTGCTTGAGAAGGTCTCCACAAATGGTGGTGTCCCTGTGCTCCAGAGGAACCAACTGTTTACGCCTCTCTGCTAGATCACCTTGTCCTGTAAAGTGACCCAGGTGCTCTACATCCAGCCTGAGAAGCCTGAACACCCCTCGACCCCCAGTGGGCACAACGAGCCCACTCCCACCCAGGAGCGCCATGGTCTTGGGTCCCTACGTGGAGCTAACTGACACGAGGCAGGAGTTCACGTCAGCCCTCTGCGCCACAGCCCAAGCAGCAGGAGCCGCTTACCTTGGCACAGGCGGCTTCTTCCCTGGCAGGGGGCTGCCTCTGTCCTGCCTCTCCGTGGCTGGCGGTAACGGGGGCTTAGGTATCTTGGGCAAATGCTCCCCAGGAGGCCTGCAGTGTTGAGAGAAAGGATGGATGAGAAACAAACCAGAGTCATACAGCACACGCCCTGTACCAACACACAGAGTCACTCACCTTCCCCCTAGGACCGAGGCCTGCAAGGCAAGAGGGAAGATAAGTGAGCATTCTTGGCACTTTCCACAGAACAAAGACAAGATACAAAACAGAGAAAAAGCAAACAAAACAAAACAGGAGAAAACTCACCTTGTCAGAAATCGCTGGTTTCTTTCCTGTAAATGACAAAGAGCAGATAAGCCTTGAATGTAACAGCTAAGCTTTGAAACTTTTGAGGAAGCTGAATCCCAGCAGCTAGGAGGGATAATTGGGTTTAAGCATTGAGGAGTCATGGGCTTCCCCGGTGGCGCCAGTGGTAAAAAACCTGCCTGCCAGTGCAGGAGACCTAAGAGACTCGGGTTCGATCCCTGGGTCAGAACGATCCCCTGGAGCAGGGAATGGCAACCCACTCCAGTGTTCTTGCCTCGAGAATCCCATGGACAGGAATTTGGCAGGCTACAGTCCATAGGGTCACAAAGAGTTGGGCACAACTGAAGTGACTTAACACACACAACATGTTGAGGAATCATAGGCTTTAGACCTGGAGGGTCCCTTACAAGAGCACCTAATTTTATAGTTTCAGACAAATTAAGCGACTTCACCCAAGCGTAACACAGTGTTGTGTACATGCAAGCAGTATTGTGAATTCTGAGCTTCTTTCCAAAATGTTTTAATATAATTGATGCTGAAAAGGATTAATGCCTTCTTGAAATTTTGTGCCTCTTTCATTGGCCAAGAGCTGCTTTGTACAGCCTAAGTTTATTTGCATATCCGAAATAAACTCATTTGCCACAGAGGTGTCAATCTTCCTTTCAGCCCTGTGGTACACTTGCCATTGCATAAGGTATTGCATTTAGTTCCTGAAAAAAATTTAATTTGGGGTTCAGAGTTTCAGGAGATTCTTCCGATGGGCTGCAAATCATTTTGTGTTGGCTTTTGTTTTTCTCTTTCTTTCTTGTCTCCCTCTCTTTCTCTCCTGCCCTCCCTTCCTTTTCTTTTGTTACTCTTCTCTTGTAACAGATGACGTGTAGGCTTCCTGAAGAAATGCTAGGTGTACCTGAGAACCGTGCATTGCAAAGCCATTCAAAACAATGTATTTTTTCTTCCGTCTGAAGTTCCCCAGAGTAATACCCTATGTCTTCAGTGTAATAAAAGCACTAGTTAACTGGATTCAGCCAGGTTTAGATGCAAATCTTGTATGATTTTGAGCAAGTTACTTAAAATTTTTGAGTCTCAATTTCCTCACCTGTAAAATGGGAATTATATGTTAAACTGTGTAGGTCTGCTCTAAGGATCAGGTGACAATATATATGCAGGGCCAGCAATGACCTGTGGGTGCTGAGAATTGTTAGATAGCTCCTCTTTCTTCCCCTCCATCCACCTCCCAGCTCAATCAGCACCCTGTAGGAGTGGTGATACATCTACCTGGACTGCATTTTTGAGACACAATTTATTCCTTAAAGACTGAATACATGTCCAGCCCATAATATGTCCTAAGACTCTTGTCTCACTGTGAAGAACTGACTACCTATGAGTAGTTTGGATGGCATAAAAATGTTCATTACTTACAAAATTTTGGTCTGATATGGAAACCCTACTTTAGAGGGATACCCAGGAAACAGATCTATATCATTAGGCCTGAATAGATTTTCTGAAAAATGTCTGCCGGTTTATGCATGTTCCCAGGGCATGTTAGGAGCCTCCTAATAAAAGTCTGAGCATTTTAGGAGGTTAATTCTCCTAAAGCATCATGGATAAGGGCTTCAAGGGTAGAGCTAGTACTGTCAGGAAAAGGCGTCTTTCAAAAGAAACCTAAATAAAAACAAAAATATTTTAAAAGGCTAACTTTTGAACAGGAAGTGATCCTGAAAGATTTGACATCAGTATTACAATTTTCTGACACTTTGGCTCATGGTAGCAAGCAGGGCTGGAGTCTGAACTCCAGTCTCTCTTCATCTTCATCTTCATCTAATGTGTCCAGCCCTCTGCCACAGGCCATTTTAAACTCAGATAGTTGACATAGCTTGGCATGAACCAGCAGAGCTATGACGCAGTTCAGGGAAACTGTAGCAAGCATAGCATCAAATCCAAGAACTGACATTTCACCTACGGAAGAGGAGACAGAGGCCACAAAGGCTAAATGCCTTGCTCACTATGTAGCTAAAGAAGGGCTAGGGTGGGGCTGGATTCCAGGTTCCTTATCCCTCAAGGTTCAGAACTCCTTCTCCAGAGCTCCCCAGCAAGGAAAGTCCAGGATCTCCAACTGCAGCAAGACGTGGTAGAACAGGGCATCCACTTTGAAGTCAGAAAAGACTTGGGTTCAAATCCAAGTTGAATTCAAATCCTGCACCTAGTTCTGCAATTTTGGGAAATTAACCCAACCTCTCTGAACCTCAGCTTTATCATATGCAAAGTGGGAATGATAATACACCTCTCTTTGTGGACCTGGGGTGAGGACTAGAGACAATGTAGAAGTAACTCTCCATATCATGGATTCCATACCCACCAACCTCAGATCAAAAATATTTGGAAAAAATAATTCCAGAAAGGTCTAAAAAGCAAAACTTGAATTTGCCATGTACTGGCAACCATGTAGGTGTATTTATATTGTATTTACAACTACATACATAGCATTTATATTGTATTGGGTATTATGAGTAATCTAGAGATGACTTAAAGTTCATGGAAGGATATACAGAAGTTATATGAAAATACTACACCATTTTATATAAGGGACTTGAGTATCCCTGGATTTTCATATCCACAGGGATCCTGGAATCAGTCCCCCCTGAAGACACCCAGAGATAACTTATTTGTGGTGGCTAAAGCACTTGCCCCATAGTAGGTGCTCAATACACTGTAGCTAAGTTTTAGAACTGAATTAAAAATAGCTTTAAGTAGAGGTAGCTGCCACCCAAGAACACTCTGAATCAATTCTGGAGGAAAGGACTGTAGTATACCTACAGTTTGGTCAATGATACATGCAACAGAAGACGACTCTGACATCTGAATAGCACCTGAGAGTTTCACAAAGTATTTTCTCATTATAGAGCATCCACCTTATACATAAGGAGACAGCTCTGAAAAAGCAACATCCCTGTGGTCAGTGAGCTGCTCAGGAGGCAGCGAACAGCCCTCCCCAGCCTCTGCCTCTTAGCCCAGATGCTTCCCCATCGTCCTTCAGGAGGCCATGTGATGGGCGTGTGTGCACAAATGGCGCCCCGTGGAGAAGCAAGCCCAGCACAGGGTGAAGGACAGGACCTCTGAGCTTGGGTCTCCACCCCCATCACCTGGCATCTGAGTGACCTTGGGAAGTACCTCTTCATGTCTCAGTTTCCTCCTCTGTACAATGAGGCTGACTCTAACAGTCCCCTTTCCATAGGGTTGTGGCGGCAGTTAAATGAGGTGGTGCCCGTGAGAAGCACGCAGTAAGCACGCATTAATGTCAGCCACTATTATTTTTGTGTTGCTAGTCTCTTGATCATGTCCAACTCTTTGCAACCCCATGGATCGTAGTCCACCAGGCTCCTCTGTCCATGGAATTCTCCAGGCAAGAATACTAGAGTGGGTAGCCATTCCCTTCTCCGGGGGATCTTCCTGACCCGGAGATGGCACCCAGATCTCCTGCATTGCAGGTGAATTCTTTACCAGCTGAGTCACCCGTCAACCACTATTGTTGTTGTCATTGTTGTTATTCAGCTGCCAATCCATGTCCAACTCTTCTTGGCCACTATTATTGAGCAACAAATATGAAAGATACCAACCTAGAGTGAAGGGCTCTCTGTCAAATGGAACTAATGAACGATCTAGGGCTGGTTTCGTGCTTCTGTCTATGGAAGGAGCAGGGACTGGAAGGGAAAGAGACTGAAGTCAATTGACAGAGAAGAGCATTGGGCCGGGAGAGGCGGGCAGGTGGGCAAGAGAGGGTGGCCCCATGCTCACGCTTGGCCGTTCTGTGGTTCCGACTTCTGCTCGGCTCCTCGTGGTTGGGCTGGGGTGGGGGTAGTGGCTGCTTTAACAGAAATCCACGTGTTAGGAAGCACTGCCCACCCGTCAGCAAGCCCTGAGAGCTTTATCCCCCTAATAGGTCTGAATCTGTTCACTTTTCTCCATCCCATGGACGGGTACCTGTCCATGTCTCACGTGAACGGAGCCCTGCTCCACACTCTGGGAGAGCATCTTCTGCATGTCACTGCTCTGCCAAGCTTTCTCGTGGCTCCGATCATATTAGGGACAAAACTAAACCCACCGTGGCCTGCAAGGCCCTACCTGGGCTGACTCCGTCCATCACCTCAGGGCCCACTGGGCTCTCACCCTAAGTACCTTCTTGAGGTTCCTGCAAAACCTCATGCTTGTGCATCTTCGGAATCTACGTACTTGTATCTTCCTCTGCCTGGAATATTCTTTTCCCAGCTCTCACCACAACTGTCTCACACTGTCCAGCTCAATGTCGCCTCTCCACCCACCATCACGTCCCCTGGTCTCCTGTGTCCCTAACTACAGATTACTACTCAAGCTACCCTGTTTATGCATCTCTTTACTTGCTGATTATTCATCTCCCCCAACCCAAATGAAAATTTTATGGAACAGGGACCTTATTTGTCTTGTTCATGCTCTATTCCCAGAACACTGCTGGGCGCTGCTGCTCAGTAAGTATCCACAGATGGAATGAATGAAATTCTGCATCCCAAGAGTGAGCTTCAGATTTCAAGAGCAAAACCCATATGTAGATAAATTCAGCTCCATGAGCTCCCTTTGTAATAAAACTGCAAAAGCAGGAGGAAGCCATCTGTTCTTAGACAGAGTGTCCCATCTGTGGTGTGGTCTGGATTTTGAACTTTGGGGAAAATGCGTCTTCTGTGTCCCTTAGTCCTGAGACCTGGCATTCACCACGGCTGTCCGAGTGCTGCAGTCCCTTGTGGAGAGAGCACATTTCCAGCTGTGGACTCCTGAGTCTGAACTTCCCTGGGTCTCTTTGGATACAAGCAGACCTCGGAGATAATGGGGGTTTGGTTCCAGACCACCACAATAAAGCAAAAATCAAAATAAGGCTAGTGAATAGGAAAATCATAAATTTCTCTATGGCAGGATAATCAGACCAACTCAGAACTGAAACACATACAGTATGTGCCCATTTGTGATGGGCCTTTCCTACTGTGCAATATATATCTGCATTAACCAGACCTCCTCAAGACAGGAGGATATAAACAAATTTGGGGGGAAATGGTCCCTTTCTTCTGATACCACCACTGTGATTTTTAAGTTTAGTATTTCTTTCTCATCCTGTCAGGGGGTTGCACTGACCTAAAGGCTTACTCTGCATGCACACCTGGCCAAAACAGCTCTGATGAACTTTGTGTATAATGTTAACATGTGAGTATGACACAGGAGTCTTTCTCTCAAAAACGTGTGAAACTGAATCTCAAGCTCCTGACTGGAGGAGCAGTTCTCAGCACTTCTGAGAGTCTGTCCCCCACGTTAGAATAAAATTATCTTTTAATCTTCTTGGTCTGATTGTTAATTGGATTTTCATCAACACTAGTCACATTTTTTTTATTTCCCACTGTATATAAAAGCTACATTTATATTGGAATCTATTAAGTGTGTGATAGTATTAGGTTTAATAAAGCAACATACATATCTCAATTTTAAAATATTGCTTAAAAATGCTAACCATTATCTGGCAAGGCAGGGTTGTCACAAATCTTCAATTTATTAAAAACACAGTATCTGTGAAGCACAATAAAGCAAATGCAACAAAATGAGGTGTGCCTGTTACTTAATTAGATCCATGGAATCTGGAACTGTAAGCTTGAAGAAAGAGGAGCAGGGGGTTGCTGCCCCTCTCCCTGGATTCATCACAGCACATTTTGGTCCCAAGCTTTCTGTCCATGGAATCTCAGGTGCTGGCCAGCAGGTGGTGCAAGTCTTTTCTCAGGAGAGAGAAGGCCTAGGACCCAAATACTAGCAGGGGTCATTTACTTATCCCTCTTAGATTTTATTTTACAGTTTTCACTTATTTCAAAAGTGGGAAATAATAGCAAAATGAATATTAGAAGGAAACTTTTTATTATATGAACAGCTTGTATCATTTATGATAAAGAGAAAATACCAGTGATAAACAGCACGATGCTGTGTATAAAAACCACTAGCATTTCACCCACTGTACTTGGGTAGGAGTTTCCCAGCCTGCATATAATTTTTTCTTACTGGCTGCAGTTGGATGCAGATGTCTACAGTCTGTCCTGCCTACAGAGGAAGTCATCGAGTGGACACAAGGTAGATAAGAGAAAGGACGGCGCCTACCTGGTGGGTCCGGCCGCCCGCGGGCAGAGGAGGGAGCGCGGTCGGCCTCTGTGGGGGCACCGGCGGCTGCTGCACTTTTCCAGTGGGGGGGCGGTCTGTGGAAATAAAGGCATTCAAATGGAAGGAGAAATTCTGCGTCTAGGTGAGTGGGGCCACTGGTCCGATGCATCGCCAGATGCGTGGCAGAGATGTGCCCACACCTGGGTTGTGCAGGGCGGGGCGCCCTTGGCCCCTTGCCTTCTCTGTGCCTGCCCGTTCATCTCACTCTTTTACTTGGAAGCAGCTCTCACCTCACCTCTGGGGACTGAGCATTTATCAGGGGTTTTGTTGATGAAGGCATTTTTAAAAAAAAGTCTCTTGATAATGAACTCAGCCAGTACCATGAGGGAGTGTTTTCAGACAAAACTGTAAAGAAGTAAACATACATGCCCCTACATATATGGGCATGTGTAGGTGCACACACATGGTATACACATGTACATGCCATGCAGACCCACACACGCAGGCACACCCAGCTGCCTGGGCAAGGTCAAGCCCCCTGTCATGGCTCACGAGGACCCTGCACTAGGTCCCCTCCCTTCCCTCACCAGTGCTCTGCGTTGTCCTCCCCTCCCACTTCCTCCTTCCTTAAAGGGAGGAGGCAGTCACTGGCTCCTGTGACCAAACCACAGGCTCTGAACAGAAACTCACATCACTGATCCTCACAGAAGCACCCCGGGCAGGCTGACAGACTCACAGTGTTCAGCCTCTTTGACAGAGAAAGGCCGGGCCAGGACTGTGTGTATTCCTGCGTTTTCTGCCCTGACCTATTTTGCCTCACCCAGTCTCAGCCCTGGGGAAGCGGCGCTCCTCCACAGGGAATGGGCTCAGACCTCAGGCGAGCCTGGCCTAGCTTCACACCTGCACACCCACCAGCCATCTCCCAGCCCCTCTGCCCTCACACCTGCACACCCATCAGCCGTCTCCCAGCCCCTCTGCCCTCACACGTGCACACCCACCAGCCATCTCCCAGCCCCTCTGCCCTCACACCTGCACACTCGCTCCAGCCGTCTCCCAGCCCCTCTGCCCTCACACCTGCACACCCATCAGCTGTCTCCCAGCCCCTCTGCCCTCACACGTGCACACCCACCAGCCATCTCCCAGTCCCTCTGACCTCACACCTGCACACTCGCTCCAGCCGTCTCCCAGCCCCTCTGCCCTCACACCTGCACACCCTCCAGCCGTCTCCCAGCCCCTCTGCCCTCACACCTGCACACCCTCCAGCCGTCTCCCAGCCCCTCTGCCCTTCTTCCAGCCTCAGCGCCTTTGCTCGGCCATCACTACGGCACAGAGTGCTTTGCCTTTACACCTCCACCCCTACTTAGACAGCTCCTGCTCATCCTTTGAGTTGAAACTGAAATATCATGTCCTCAGGGAAGCAAGCCCAGACTAGGAATAGCCTCAGCCTTGTCTCCCACGAGCGTCTCCCTGAGTATATATCATGGTTTAATTCAATCATTTCATTGCCTCACCGATTGAATTATGAATTCTTTAGGGTGAGGACTGTCTACTATCTCATTCATTCTGTTTGCTCATCACTGGCGTGCATGGGACACTCAATGTCAGTTACCTATTTATTCTCTGGACCTCAGTTTCCCTAAATATGAAACAGGCTTGGTAATTGTCATCTATATCATACAGGGTGCTTCAAAACATGAAATGCTGACAAAATTTGAAATGACTTTAAAATTGCCAAGTGTTCTACAGCCTAAAGGATTCGTGGCATTAATGTTTGTGGTGCTGATCATCAACTGTTTGGCTTACTATTTGATGTTATGCAAGTGTGTATGTGGCTATTTTTTGCTACCACCTCTGGTAGGATGTAAGCCCTGTGAAGCAAGGGCTGTGTCTTCTTTTCAGATAATTTTGAATTTCAACATTTAAAATGATTCCTGGATAATAGGAGACCAATAATTTTTGTTGAATGGATGAATGAATAAATGAGCAAGGGAGAAATGTGCTGACAGGAACAGGTGAACAATGAAAATCTTAAATACTGCTGAAAATGTTTAAAGTTATGGTCAAACTACATTCAATATTGTTGTTTTTATCCTGACAGTCTGTCGGTAGTAGTGCCACATAATCATGAATTGGTCCAAGACAGGGAGGAACAGGAAAGTACTTAAGTATCAAAGGAACACACAAAATAAACTGATCCTTCCAAATGCCCTCAAGCAGCAGTTCAGTCCTGATATCAGCCACCACTAGCAACGGTTTGGCTGAAAATCATAAATATTAAACTTCACAGCAAACCTTTATGGCCTGTATTATTATTGTCCTATTTCACAGATAAGGAAACGGAGGCCCAGAGAGGTGGAGTTACTTGCCCAAAGTCACACAGCCGGTCAGTTGGCATCAGCACACAACGCTTTCTGCTGCATGGGTGTTGGCCTCCCATACATCAGTGGGGCTGGGAGCTGGGCTCCAGGGCCCTTACCTATGTACATGGAGTTGGGGTTGGACAGAGGCTTGGCAGGCAGGATGGAGTTCTGCAGAGCTTCCTCATCGTTGGAGGGTGGCGGCTCGTAATCGGCATCATCTTCCACAGGTGCCTCTTCTTCTTCGTTGGGGGACTCATAGTCACCATCATCCTCCGCATCTGCATCGTCATTGGGACTTTCATAGTCATCTTCTTCCTGCCAACAGCATGATGGGGCAGTATGGTGTGTAGAGGCTCTTTGGTAGTGGGCGTGCCCACATCTACTGTCTCTCTGCCAGGCCTCACAGTGGTCCCCACTTGGTTCCTCCCACTTTCCAGATGAAGACGCTGAGCTCAGGGAGTACAAATTCACGTGGCCAGCAAGCTGTCGTCTTAGGACCCAGTCAAGGTCTTCAGACTCCCTAGGCAAGTGCATTTTTCCCCTATATTTCTTTGCACAGCAGGCAAAAGCAGAAGAAATGAGGTGGACACAGCAACCTATGTCCACTTACTATGTTTGAATAAAAACACACTTTGCACTTCAAGCATCACCAAGAGGAAAACTAAAACCAGGAGCATTTATGATGCCCCTGGTTAATTGCCAGTTCTGTTCTCAGGGTGTGCACTCAGACACCCAGTCGTGTCCGACTCTTTGTGACCCCATGGACAGGGGCCTGCCATAGGATTGTCCCAGCAAGAATACTGGAGTAGGTTGCCATTTCCTTCTCCAGGGGATCTTCCAGACTCAGGGGTAGAACCCACCTCTCCTGAGGTTCCTGCATTGGCAGGCGGATTCTTTATCACTGTGCCACCTGGGAAGCCCTGTTCTCGGGGTGCCTATACTCAAAACTTTCCTCATCATAATCTAGCACAGCCTCCAAGGCCACACTGATGGGAAAATCAGACAACCAAAGCCCCTTAACTGAAGGCAGGCTAAGTTGTACCTGAGAGGGGGTAGTCAGGGTTGGGCTAGTCTCTGCTGAGAGTTGGGTGTACAGAGACAACAGCTTATTATTTGTGACAGCTAGCTCTCTTGGAAGAGACTCTCTAAATTTTAAGTTTTTTTTAATGGTAGTTTATATTTGTTTCTCTGGAGGTCTCAGGGAAGGTAAGCTCTAGGGGCTGGGTGATTGCCTTTGAAACAACCAATGAAAGTGGACAGTTATAGTCATGATTTCCTGACACCATCAGCTGCCGAGCAATGATGGGCTTATCACGCTCAGGCCAAAGTCATGTGGGTCCTAACTGAGCCCTGGGCATTTCTCTAAAGTCAAGGGGGTGCAGAGAGAAGCAGCAGGAGGTTGCAACTTGGTGAGGACAGGTGCTCACTAGAACCTAGAAATCCTGATGGCATTGCTGGGTGGCTTAAGGAAGACTGTCTAAGGAGCTTAACTGAAAGATGTGTGTGTTCAGTCATTCAGTCATGTCCGACTCTGCGACACATCAGGCTCCTCTGCCCATGGAGTTTTCTGGGTGAGAATACAGCCTTTTTTTGACATATATATCCTATGGGCTTCCCTGGTACCTCAACTGGTAAAGAATCCACCTGCAACGTAGGCGATCCCAGTTTGATTCCTGGGTCAGGAAGTTCACCTGGAGAAGGGATAAGCTACCCACTCCAGGATTCTTCCTGCTTTCTTAGTGGCTCAGACGGTAAAGAGTCTGCCTGAATGCGGGAGACTCGGATTCGATCCCTGGGTTGGGAAGATCCCCTGGAGGAGGGCACAGCAACCCACTCCAGTCTTCTTGCCTGGAGAATCCCCATGGACAGAGGAGCCTGACGGGCCACAGTCCATGGGGTTGAAAAGAGTCGGACTTGACAGGGTGACTAAGCACAGCACAGCACATATATCATATGTGTGTATATATATATATTCTTATACAGATATATATTCCTATACACATATATATTCCTATACAGATATATAGTTCAATACATATACACATTGGAAGCCAAGATGAGCTTGAGTTCATCTTCCTGAACACAAAAAAGACTTGGTCCTGCCATCAGGGTCACTACAATTTGAGAGCAGAGGATGATGGATGGGAGAGACTTAAGAACCACAGCCTCAGCACCTTTCCAGGCCTTGCTGACTGCTGCTTAGACCTGCAGGGCCTCCCTACCATCTCTCAGCCTGCACACCCTAGACCCATGGCTCCTGACTTCCCAATGGGCCTTTACCTTATCAGCCTTTCTCAACAATAGACTTTTCCTCTTTGCTTCTAGAACAACTATTTTCTCCAGTGATTCGGCTCATATATTCCTATGTATGTTTTTGTTCCAAATCACATTTTGATCTGTGTGTGTGTTCTCCAAGCTATAAAATGGTCATAGGGTTATTTATCCTCACCGCCCGAGTGCCCGGTGCAGTGCTGGGCACTTCACAGAAGCCCGAGTGTCGTAGCAGCAGCTGGGGGGGACTCCCTGTTTGAAGACAACATGGAGGACGCCAACCTCAGACTGAGCTCACAGGAGGAACTGCATGGCAAGCAGTGGCTAAGATACAGAGTCTATGTGAAAATGTAAATATTTGGGAGGAAACTCTGGTCTATTGTCCCTTGGGAACAAAATTAATCTGTTACATTCCTTTGTTCTCATGCAAAAAAGAACATACTTAGCTAGCAGGTTTTTTATTTTTATTTTTTTCAAATTCAATGCTTGCTTTTACCAGAATCCCAGTAGAACAGGGGTGTTTAGTGCCTGCTACCTAAAGGCACTAGAGGCAGCCACTTACCAGAAGGACCCCTGGACTAAGGGTGAGTGAGCTGCGTCCTCAGCCTGCCTCTAACTAGTCATGGGGTCTACACAAGTCACGTCCTGCAGTGGGCTCAGCTGCTTCCTCTGTAAAAAGAACAGACTGGGCTACGAGCCATAAAAGACTTCTTAGCCCGAGTCTGGCTTCAAGTGTGGTGATGATATACGCAGTTTTCTGGGGAGAAGCTGCACAGAATTCATCAGACTCTCAAAGGGGTCATTATGACCCCTCAAGTATAAAACCCAATTGGACTGTCCCATCCCTGAGGTCTTTCGAGGGCTGATAGTTCATTCTGAGCTCCCTTTCCCTCTGTGTCACCAGTGGGGACTTAAGCCCATGAGAAAGGCTACTTTAAAGCTAGTGTAGACCACGTGAGGAGGGCTTTGGGGGAGGGCCCTGCTGTGGGGGGTCCCGGCACCCCGCAGGCCTCAGCGGAGCCCAGCCTTTCGTGCAGGTGTCCTCCGCCGCTGCTCCCGTGCCCCGAGGGCGAGAGGACGGGACGAGACCAGAGACCGTGAGGGCTGGAAAGCCAGAGAGCCACGCTCTGACGGTCACAGAGCACGCCTGACCCCGCGGGGCTCCGTCAGGGCCTGCTACAAAGGACCTCCGGACTCTGCTGTAAGCCGGGAGGACCCACCGCATACTCACAAAGGACGACCAGCCTCCGTTGTCTTCCTCATGGCTCTCTGCGGAGGAAGACAAGATCGCCATCAGTGCCGACTGAAGCCACGGAAGGGAAGTCAGCCGCTCCCAGCCTGCTGCCCTCCCCCACCCCCACCTTCATCCTGCACACTTGGGGGTCAGCAACTCAGTGTCAGCTCCCGACTTCCTACCTGAGGGGCTCATTCTACCAGAGGCGGTGGTTCTCAACCTTTCACGTGTGTGAAAGTCACTTGAGAGAGCTTCAAAATATGCAGATTCCCCGGGCCCTATCCTTAGAGCTGCTGATTCTGCAGGAACTGGGGGGGACCCAGGAATCTACGTTTTAACAAGATGTGGAGTTTAACAACTGAATAATTGCTTTAAAGACTCAGGAGCAGGAGGACCAGCTGTGCTCAGATGCTCAGTCAAAACCCAGGTTGTTCCAGGCACCACCCACAAAATCCCTCCCTGGGTCTGTGCAGAAGGCCCCAGTTGGAAGGGGATCATGGCCAGGTGCCTGGCAGAGTGATATCTCTCCTCCTCTCCACCTGGACCGGAAGTCAGAAGAACAGAAGTGCCTCCCATCTGCAAAGCAATCGTTCTCACCCCAGAGACCTTTACCTGTCTCCTCTGGAAACCGCTGGACTTGGGGTCTGCAAAGGCAAGCAACATGGCATTAACGGCCTTACTGACTTGGGGAGATATCCCTCTTAGTCCAGCCCTGAAAGAGGAGTCCCCAGGGGAGGGTATCTCTCACCACCCAGGACTCTTGTCCTTGTTGCTTTGAAACTCAGGCCAGGCTACCCGAAAACTCAGGAAACCACTGAAGGCACATTGGGGGTACAATTGGGAGCTTGTGACTACCTGACTTTCTAGGGGAAGCTCCCCTGATGTAAGGGGCAGGATGCAGGGCACAGAGGGAGGACCCCTCGACTGGAAGATTATTGCAGATCAAAAATGAGGGCAAAACCAGTCCTGTACCTCCCATTAGACTTGAGTTTGAAAATTCTTTGCATCTCATTAAAGTGACCCTGGGCACTTGACTGCCCCACTCACTTGCGTGTGAAAATGCTCCTTCTTTCTTCATTCTTGTTGATTTCTTGACTTAACTTACTGAGAATCCTACAAGACAAAGGGACAGGTAAGGTGATAAAAGCATTCTCTCTCTCCACCTTCAGCCCTCTTCTCCTGAGCCCTGAAGATTCCCTGGTCCATGTGACCTCAGGCACTTGAGCCAACCTTAGCTGGCCTCTCCTTTGGCCTCCAGCCAGTCCCCTCCCTCTGCTCCTCACTTTCTCACAGAACTTGCCATCTGCATCCCCTTGTTCCTGCCCAGGACACTCTCTGCATGGGCTCAGCCTCCTGGCTCTAGCTCAGAGCCCCTCCATGGGGACTGGCCAGCTCACACCGGCTCCTCCTCCTCTGAAACCCAGCAGCCTCAAGATCAGGACATGACCGCAATGTATTTTACTGTGCTAGTATTTGCAGCGCTGAGCTCCCCTGACTCTTGGTTTGACATCCCTGTAGCAACGCCTAACAAGACTCTTCAGTCCATCTCTGAGACCTGGAGGAGTCAGCCATTCACTGACAAGAGCCTCAGTGCACTTCCCTCCCGTGCCCAGAGGCCTGCCTTGGCCAGGACCCTCTCATTCCTCGGATGTTGTAAACTAGCAAATCTCCAAACCCCGGGGCAGGAAGGGCAGAGTGGGACGGCACCTCTGGCACGCCCTAGCCGTAAACTCCGGCCTCCCTTAGCACCACTGAGGAGACCCAGGGACTGTCAGCTGACAGGCTCGTGTTCCCGAGAGACATGGGGCAGCTGCAGGAGGCTCAGAGGCGGTCTCGCCCGCATCATCTTACGCGCGGGGCCCCAGAGGCCCAGAGAGGAAGAGACTGGCCTGCACAGCAGGCACCCTCCCCCAGCCACACACGCCAGCCTCAGAAGCCAGGCTCCCTCATCTCCAGAGCAGCACACTGTCACCACACCGTATCCCGTGGTAATGCCCCTGATGCCGGAGGCCCCTTGGGAATAGCTCTATGGCTCCTGTTGCCCTCTGGGAAGGACCCAGAGTCTACCCTCCTTCTGCTGAAGTGACTGCAGCAAGGTCACAAGTTTGGTCCAAAACAAAATTGCTAAGTTAGCAAAGTAGTCTTGGCCCTCACCACGTCTTGCTTCCCTCATCATCCCCCAGGCTCCCAACCCCCGCCCCCCAACTTCGCCACGTTCCCCAGGAACCTGCTCAGAACCTCTCAACTTATTCGAGTGAGAGGACGTGCTGTGCCGTGCTTAAGTCGCTCAGTCGTGTCCAACTCTTTGAACCCCATGGACTGTAGCCTACCAGGCTCCTCTGTCCATGGGATTCTCCAGACAAGAATACTAGAGTGGATTGCCATACCCGCCTCCAGGGAATCTTCCCAACCCAAGGATCGAACCCAGATCTCCCACATCGCAGCCGGATTCTTTACCATCTGAGCCACCAGGGAAAGCCCGAGTGACAGGACAGACAGACTTTTAACAAACGAGCTGGGCCATTAGAGGACAGAGAGAGGAGCCTGTCAATCCTCCCTCCGATGTCATTGTTGGGACATCACCCATCACGGGGAGATGCTGTAAAGCGGGGCGGGGTGGGGAGCTTCCCAGTGGAAGCTCCAATTACCCACCAGACTGCTGGTTTCTGGTTCCTCTGTTTCCTTTAAGCGACAAGAAGCTGATGAGCGTCCCTCTGCTCCCTCTTCTGACAGAGCATCAGTCAGGGCGCAGTCACCCTCATTCAGTCATTCCTTCACTCAGCAGTGCGCACTCCAGGCTACCTAAGCACCAGGAGCTCTGCTGGGGCTCAGGGCACCTCGGTGAACAAAACAAAGATCCCTGCTCTCGAGGAGCTTACTTGCTGGCGGAGACAGACAAACAGTGTACACTAGAGGAAGTGAAATTCAAGGTGAGAGCTGTGTGTACAAGCAGACAGCGGAGGTGCGGGCTGGGCAAAGGGGGCGGGAGCCGAGTGCGGTTACAATTGAAAAACCACCCAGCGGGCCTCTGGGAGGAGGTGACATTTCTGCAGGACCTGAAGTAGGGGGTGCTGGGGAGCGGGTCCGCCGCAGAGTAAGGGCGGTAAGGGAGGGCACCTGGAGAAGCGGGGTGGCCCTGACCGGCGGGCGCCGCGGCTTTGATCCTGAAAAGACCTGCGGCTCTAGGCCACTCCTTAGGGTATCTTCAGCCGCCGGGCGGGAGGCCGCTTTGGCTCTAACTGGCGAAGGAAGGAAATGGCAAACCGCAGCCCCACAGAGGAGCTGCGCGAGCTGAGAGCCGCGGGGCCGGAGAGGGGCCGGCAGCCCAGCCTGACGCAGACGTGGGGCCCCCGGACCCCCTGCTCTGCGGGCCTCAGAGCGCCCCCTCCCCGCGGCTGGGGCCGCTGGCTGCGGGGGGCGTGTGTGCAGAGGGGACGCCTGTGCAGGGCAGCGGTGCTGGCGATCAGAGCTGAGGTTCTTGCACCTCTGCCTGCAAACCCTCGTGGCTGCCCCCACTCACTCCCACGCCCCCAGAGGACCAAGCGACAGTGAGTGGCCGGAGGTGACTCATTCTCCCTCCTTCCCACAGACCCCAGGCCGCACTCAGCCCCGCGAGAGACCGACGGGGGCTGGGCAGCGGGTAGACATCTTTCTCTCCGCTCCGTCTTTAGCCGCAGAAGCGGAGCGGACCTTTCCGCAGGAAGCCAGGCCGTGGCAGCCGAGACCCCTAGCTCGCTGTGTGATGGGGACGGGTCTCTGACTTCTCGGGTGGAGGCCTCCTCTGGTCCTGCTGGACGGTGCAGAGGTTGGGAGGGGGTCCTGCTGAGCGCGACTGCAGCCTCCTGCCCCCGGACAGAGCCCCTGGCCTGACCTCAGGCCAGGTATTGCCCTCCCTAGTCCTCCCTTCCTCATCAGCGAAACAGGAGGGCTGGCCCTAGCTGGAGAATCCCTGGCTGGCCTGCCCGTAGCCACAAACACTCATGACCAGGCCCACTGGAGACTTAACCCATCAGAGCATCCAGGAGAGGCTGGGAGCCGCTGGATGCAGTCACAACAAGCGCCCCAGAGACATGGGTGGGTCCTGTGGGCTGAAAGCTTGTGAGATCACTCCTGTGATCTGGGCTTCTTGGACTTGTTTTTAAAAGAATAGAAATGGAGGAAGGGAGTGAGGTGGGGGAGCAGAAGCAGAACTCAGGCTCTCTGTCCTGTTGTGGCCCCTGTAGGCTCTCCCAGGACACGTGGGGCTCCCTTCCCATGGTCCCTGTGTTCTGCCAGTGGGGATGGAGGCTCACAAGTGCGTCTTGAAATCAACTTGCTGGTCACATAGAAGAAAGAAGGAAACTGGGAAAGGCAGGCAGGGAGGAAGAAAACAGAACGGAATGGAAAGTGTCAGAGCCCACAGCACAAGGAAGAGTCAATGTTATTTCCCGGACACTCTGTTTTGCTGCCTGTGTGATCATATGTCTCGTGCACAGCTGAAATGTTTTTCTTACTGAACTTCGCATAATGTGAGCTGTAGATGAGTTTCCCTGATCCTAGAGGGCTCGAGGGGACAGAGAGCTGCTCCCTTGACCCCAGTTTCAGAGGCATACCGCCCCCTCGCCCGGAGGCCCTCCTCCACCCCTCACCCGCTCCCTGCTCTCTGACATCACCCTGACCCCTCTCCCACCCGCCAGCCCACGTTCTCACACCCAATCTGGCTTTCACTTGGATTTCACCTTTCTTTAAAGGAACAAAATTCCTTCTTAAAGGCAAGTCTTCTGTGAACCAAGAGTCAAACCTTCCAAAATTCTGTCCTGTCACCTGAGGAGCCAGGGAGAAGCCAGGACATCAGTCTCAAGACTCAGGCCTCCAGGGGCGACCAGGCATGTGAGCGGGAGGCAAGAATCTGAGGGTCTCCCCCTTCTCAGCCCTGCCCTCCCGCTGACAGATTTACAAGTCTTATGTTACTTGTGCTGCGCAGTCATTTTGTGTAGTAGCCGGAAGAGTTGTCCTCCCAACAAGGACAGCAGGGCGCTGGGGGAGGTGTTTGTCAAGGCCCCATGCTGGTTTTTGACATGGTGCTCTGGGCTCGCGTTGAGGAGGGCGGCAGTCAGTGGAATGGAGGCACTTTCCATGTAGGGAGGACGGGGCACCTGGACAGGGCTCCAGCCAATGAATGGGAGGGAAGGCATGTGTCGGACAGGGACCGGCCCTGTCCCCAGTCTGCTGGGAGTTGAGCACGTGTCCTGGACACAGTGCTGTGTTCAGCTCTGCGCCCTCCCTCCATCCTGCCCGCCATCCTTTGCTGTTTTTATATCTTAGGTAGGCGCTGAGCAGATAAGACAGGGAGCTGTCTCTGAGGTTAGGAGATGACAGCCTTTTCAGAAGACAGACAAATCAACAGGCACAACTGCCTTGTCTCTCTAACTGGATCTTAGCTTTTTCCATCCTAATTCCACTATGGATAATGGGGACAGTGATCATTGATGTTATAAAGAGAATCATCCAATACCTATCTGTTGCCTACATTACCACCACATCCTTACCCTCTTCTTATTTTTTTTTTTAAGTTACACTGTATTATTTTAAACATAAAATTTATAGCATTGGAATTGCCTGGTGGTACACTGGATAACAGTCTGCCTGCCAATGCAGGGGACATGGGTTGAATCTCTGCTCTGGGAGGATCCCACATGTTGCGGGCAACTTAATCTCATGCACCGTTAACTACTGAGCCCTTGCACCCCAGAGCCTGTGCTCTGCAACAAGAGAAGCCACAGCAAAATGAAGCCCGCACACTGCAACTACAGGGTACCCCCCACTCAGCATGATTAAAGAAAGCCCTCAAGCAACAACAAAGATCCAGTGCAAAAATAGCAACAAAAATTTACACCATTAAAAAAAAAAGACTCCAGTTGATCATCAGAAGATTTTATCATGTATTCTATCATTTTAACCAGATCATGCTCAGTTCTACCATAGGTGCTAGGCTAGGTCCTCTAAAAGGATGTTACATTGTTTTATTTTAAAACTCTCCTCTGTCACATTGTCTGTGAGGTCTCTGGGGGAAACTATGCCTGAGACAGTCCTATGTCTGCAGACAGAGAACACTTTCCCACCAGAAACTGCCTTCTTACAAAATCCATTTAGTACTGACTTTTTAAAGCAGATTTAAGGAAATTGAGATATTCAGAGGAGTGTAATCTTGTTTTGGTCTACTGTACATAAACACAATTTCTTTTCTATAGCCCTTTAGGGAAATGGTCTAGGGCAAGTGGACCTGTGTACAAAGTAATGCAACAAATGAGCCCTGAATATCTATACACACAGGCAGCTTATGTGGACTGCCTCTTACTTACCCACGTACCCATATACACTGCTCCCTCTGAGTTCCTTCTCTCCTCTCCTCTAGATGAGGAAGCTGAGGCTCAGACTTGAAATGACTTGCCTGAGTCCCACAGCTGGTAGGAGGCAGAGCCTGCTTTAGAACTTGGCTTTGCCTCGCTCCAAAGCCCATGCCTTTCTATTCTTTCATCCTCCCCAGTTAGTAGGATAAAATCATTAGTAAAAATCTGAAATGGTGCTCATTGGGATTTTGCATTAAATGGCTGGAGTAGTTAATGCCTCTTCAGTACATTTTATTATATCTCCGTTATTTCTTCTAACTCTCTCACTGGTCCTTTGAGACAGGGTCTGTTATTGTCCCCATTTTACAGATGAGGAAGCTGAGGCTCAGGGAACTGTGATAACTTGTCCACAGACTCATAGTTAATGAATGGGAGAACTGGGTCTCAACTAGTCTGATCTCAGAGCCTGCATTTTACTCACTAAGCTCTCCTGTCTGCCTGTTGAGATCTGAAATAATATCTTTTAAAAAGAACGTGCTCATGAAGTTCATGTAACCCATTCCTTCATTTTATACACTTGGAAACTCAGAGTACTCTAGGACTCATCCCAGGCACAGAGCTCACAGAAGTATAACTGAAAATTGGTACTTTTTATACCAATGCTCACACTCAGAATCACCTGATCAGGGCTGCCGGACCTTCCCTGGATGCCTTCCCCACCAGTTCACCTGTCATGCTCCATGGATAGCCCTCGTGACTTGCCTTGGGGGGCAAACACACTGGAGGGCCAAGTTGTTGTTTTAGTTTTTAAATAACTGAAGAAATATCCCACCTTCACCTCATGTTGAACTGCAGACATCAGCTCAACTCAGTCTTAAGATTTAAAAAATGATCCTCCCAGTTGAAAGTGCCTTCCTCATCTTCCTTCTACTGCTTCCTTCTACTGCTCTGATTGAATCCCCTCCTTCCAGCATCTTTCTAACCACAGCCCTGGGAGAAGCGGCCGTCTCATAGCGAGATCATAGCCATCATTCCTAACCAGGCTCCATGCTTCCAACTGAGTCCTCCTCTCCATCATCTTTTACACACCCTGGAAAGAGTCAACATGCAGGTTTTACCTCAGTGTTCCCCCTGATGAACTCATTTCACCAACACTCTCAGACTCATAACAGCTGAAAGCATCCTTCACAATTATAACTAGTTACTGTGGTCTTTTTTACTGCTCACTCCCCCACGTATACACCTCAATGCTCTGACCTACTTGCAGTTCCAGTAAACACACTGGTGTCATGCCTTTGCAATATAGTCCCCATTTCTAGAAAGTCTTTCAATCATTTTTCATCTGACCACTCTCAATATATTTCAAGATCCAAGTTAAGTTCCCTTCTTCCCCAAAGTCTTTCCTGATGCCACTTCTTGATTTTAAAACACTGTGTGGATCCAGCTTAACGTGTCTACAGGCTGACTCTGGCCCACTAGCCACCAGTTCTCACTGCAATATGTTAAGTTCTCTCCTTGACCTAGAACTGTGGCCTTTTCCTAGGGCATCACATCTATAATCTCCAATATAATCGTCATCACTGTATCTAGCTATTGAGCCCTTGAAATGTGGCTAGTGCCTCTGAGGGGCTGAATGTTTTATTATTTTTAAAATCTTTATTTTTAGTTATTTGGCTGCACTGGTTCGTAGTTGTGGCATGCGAGATCTTTTAGTGTGGCAGGTGGGCTTTTTAGATGCAGCGTGGGAACCCCTGGTTGTGGCATACAGGTTCTCGTCCCCTGACCAGGGATGGAACCCAGGCCCTGTGCATCAGGAGCATGGAGTGTTAGATCACTAGACCACAGGGAAGCCCCTGAACTTTTAATTTAACTTAGATTTAAATAGCCATTTTGGACTAGGAAAAAATCTTTTAAAATCAATTATTCTTCAACAACAGTGGCCCCTGGAGACAGGCAGTACCAAAGGCAAATCCTTATTCCCTTCTTTTTCTTTACCCTTCCAGAGGAGGGAGACCTGAGAGTTGTATTTTTCTTATTTCAGCTACTCTGGCAGCTCTCCCTACTCACAAAGCTTTTTACCTCCTATTTCACTGACCTACTTCCCTTTCATCGTTGTGAGCCCTAAGACGTTTAGAGCAAGAGAAAGGACCCCAGAGGGTGTCTGGAGTGGAGGTCTCAGACTAGGGGCCCCCACACTAAATCTAGCCCATAAAGGTGCTTACTTTGGCATTCAAAATATTAAAAAATATTTGAATAACATTTAAAAATTGAGATATATTGCATAAAACTTGTATTTCTAGCTACTTGATAAATTTAAAGATTAGGCATTGAGACTTCCCTGGAGGTACAGTGGTTAAGAATCTGTCTTGCAATGCAGGGGAGGCAGGTTTGATCCCTGATTGGGGATCCCACGTGCTTCAGGGCAACCAAGTCTGTACAGTGCACGAATGAGCCCATGCACCACAACTAGGGAATCCACGCACCACAACTAGGGAATCCATGCACTACAACTAGGGAATCCACGCACCACAGCGAAATATCCCACCTGATGTAAGAAAGATCCTGAGTGCTGCAACTAAGACCCTATCGTTTTTCTTACAGCAGAAAAATATTTCTCCATATTGAAGCTTTATTCAAAGGTGGTAAAATGATTGGACTTTGTATTTTTCAGCCTGACCCATTCACACATTTCATTTTGGCTCCTGCAAGCATCCGAGTGTGAGACTTCTGCTAGAAGGGTAGAAAACATGGCACAGTGTGTGCACTGAAACTTCACATTTTAGCAGCCACATCAGACCTCAGAAATGGCCCCCCTTTCCTCAGAATTCTTCTCAACATGATGCCCGTGACAGCCACCCCAAATGGTCATTACTGACAGACCAAAGGGTCCACTACCAGACTCATCTGGTCCAATGCTCTCATTTTACCGAGGTCCAAAAATCTGAAGCAATTACTGAGTTGGCGATGAAAACCATGATGAAACCTCAGATCTCTTGATTCTGGTGCTATTTTCAAAAGCCAACCCACCCCACTGGGGAGAGAGGAAATGAAAACATGGTCCAGAATCAGGCTTATCTTTGGCAAGAGCAGCCAAACAGCAGCCGGACCAGAACCGTTACTTCTTTTTCTCAACACGCTATGTAACTTCTCTTCCCAGAACACTGCTCTCGCCTTCTTTCGTCCTGATTGCTTTCCCATTCTAAGCTGACAGTGACAGAAAAGTGACTCAGCTCCCCAGTCTGCTCCCCGTCCCACCGCAGTCCTCGGGTCAGTACTCACGGCACGCGGAGCTTAGGGAACTTCTGGATGTCGTTCTCTGCCAGGCTCTGAAATGGAGACAGCGGTCGTTACAACCCACAGGAAGGGCTCCAGGCCAGGTGAGCACTCAGATGTGAAATGACAGCCGACAGCAGGACTGCAGCCAGCGCAAGAGGAGGCCCCATCCACCTGACCGAATAAGCAGCTTCCAGATGGGGCACCAGAGCCCGCAGGCCCGGGACAGCCAGGTCGGGTCACAGGGAGCCCGAAACTCAGATTTCATTGGACGTGGCCACGCTAGCCCCCAACCCCAGACCTCAGGCCCTCGGTCGCCGTGTGAGACAGCGGTGAGCAGCCGGCCTGGAGGAGTCTGTGCTCCATGGCCTCGTCCCAGCTCAGCTGCCTCCTTCACCTGAGGTGCTGGTAGAATTCTCTAGATGCGAGGAAGCAAAAGAGGCTGTCCTGAGGGAACCGAGAGGGGAAAGGAGAAAAAGACTCATGTTTGTAAAGAACTGACTCTGCCTCCTTACAACACCTTGATTAATCCTTGCATCAGCCCTGTGATGTAGCATTGTTTCATTTTAGTGAGAAAGTGGGGCCTGGGGGTGTAAGGGGATTTCAGCTTGCAGGCGATGGAGCTGGGGCTAGGACCTGGCTCTATGGCTTTCGTGGGCTATTTCTTTCTGCGAGCTTCCTCCTACCACATCTATGCCCTTTGGAGCCCTAGTGGCCTGTGTTGGAAGACAGGAGGGGAGGGAGAGAGACGAGGGAAGCCAAGAGGGTGGGACATGCTCCACAGAACCAAAGCTGAGGCCAAGCAGGGAGCCCTTTAACGGTCTAGTTGAGGCCGGGGACCCAGCGGTCGGGGGCAGCGCTGGAGTCGGACAGGCTGCTGTAGAATCTTGGTTCCCTCACTTAGCAGTCCCTGACTTGGGACAGACACTCAGTCTCACTAGCCTCAGCTTCCTTGTCTGTATAGCGGGAACCTTAACGATACGGACAGCTCCGTTTCAGGGGCCGTGAGGAAGTGTATCCTGTGCTTGGCTCAGGGCCTGACAGACCTTTGAAGAGCGACGAACAGGGCTTAGGTGGGCAATTTCTGTCCCGGGGTGGGGAGCCCTGTCCTGGGGTCTGGCTGACTGTTGGAGGTTAGTTAGTGTCTTTGCTTCTTCTTCTGCTCTGGGCTGGGAGCTGCCTGGCAGGATTTTGGCTGCCTTCTGAGATGAGCTGGGCAAACTTCCTGTTAAGCCCAGCTGGCACTGGGGCTAAGGCATCTTAAAATGTGCTTATGGCCTCATCCACTCCAGCTCTTAGGAACGGAGTCTGACCCAGCCCCCATATCAGACCTTGTGACAGAGCTGGGAAGGAGGGTTTGGCAAGAGTCCTGAGACAATCAAGACTTTCATCAAACTTCTTAACTTCTTTTTTTTTAGCATCACTGAGCCATGGCATTCCGTCCCCTGGAACCACCCCTTTCTCACGGAGGATACCAAGACTTATGTTAGCAGTGTGGCATGAGGACTGGAGGGCTTCCTGGGAGTGGCCAGAGGGATGGATGCTGAGAACCAGGCAGGGGGCCATTGCCTTCTCTTCTGTTGAGTCAAAGATGTAAGCTGAGGGGATTTCAAGAAGCAGGTGAATGAAAAGGTAAGCATGTGAGTGTGGCTAGAAATACAGAGAAAGGCCTTTGAAACAGGGACAGGAATTGGAAGGAAAGATGGAAGATGGTAAACCTGTTTGGGCTTCCCCGAAGGCTCAAGCTGTAAAGAATCTGCCTACAATCCAGGAGATGCCAGTTTGATCCCTGGATTGGGAAGATCCCCTAAAGGAGGAAATGGCTACCAACTCCAGTATTTTTACCTGGAGAATCCCACCGAAAAAGGAGCCTAGCAGTCTACAGTCCGTGGGGTCACAAAGAGTTAGACATGACTGGGCAATTGGGCACACACACAAACATGATGTTTGGAGAATTTTTCTATGTGATGTAACAGTGTAAAACCCCCTCCTCTACCTTCTTCAAAGACCTTGAGCAAAGTCTGGAAACTCTGAGTTACTTGTACAATGACTTGGAGTTAGACTAGTGGCTTTACAGGAATATGGTTATGTGCTGAGTGTGTCCTTAAGAGGGACAAGAGAGCAAGAAAAGCTGAGAACTGGACCCAGCCTGGAGAGGCATTGTAGCAGACATTGTTGCTTGCCTACTCAATATCCACTCTCTTGCTCCCTTACTGATGGGATCTGGATTTTGTTCAAGGCAGTAAATGGGTCCAGTTCAAAATATTTAACACCCTAGATTCTCTTGCATGTGACCAAGGTCATGGGACTCCATTGTGGCCAGTGAGATATAATCTGAAGTCTAACTGAATAAAGCTTTTGGGAAAGTACCCCTGAAAATAAAGGGGATGCAATCCCCATGCACTTTGCATTTTTCACTCTTCGCCCTCCCCCTCTCCCTCCTGGAATGCAGGTGTAACGCCTGGAGATGGAGTGGCCCTCTTATAGCCACTAGGAGAGAAGCCACGGAGAGCTCCCACTGGCTCGGTGAGGCCTGAGCTCTTGATGACTTCCTTTAGCATCTCTCTAGCCCCCAGTGCCCACCTCTAGACTTCTTGTCACTTGAGAAAGATAAGCCCCTCTTTGGGTAAGCCACTGTGGTTCAGTTTCTCTTTCATGCAGCCGCACACTTTTCTAACTGACACAGCTTCCAAGCACGTGGCCTCCTCTTCTTTAGCCCTTTGGGAGCATAGAACCCCCAAGCCCTCACCAGACTCCTCAGTGGAAAACAAAATGCTGGCAGACAGATTCAAGGGAGCTGCTCGCTCCTGCACTGAAGGAAGGAAAAGGAAGGCAGGGCGGGAGGGAGGAAAGGACGGAGAAAGGGAGAGAATGGAGAGAAATGGAGGGGTGGAGGGTGAAGACGGCTGGGGCCCTCCATTTCCACCTTTACAGCAGAATGGCCCTGGCCGTCGTAACGCTGGGAAGGTTGGCAGCTGAGAGTTCAGAGCTCAGAGCAACACCCAGATCATACCCAGAGCATCTGGCATGGAAGGAGGTTTTAGCAGAAGCTGCCAGGGCAGGGCTGGGCTCTGCCCCCTACTTCCCTGGCTCCTTGAGACCCTCTTTCTACTTCCTGTTGTTCACACAGTAATGAGAGTAAGCAGCATTTCTCTGAGGACCTGGCACGTCCCAGATATCAGGGTAGAGAAGGCAAAGCTCCTCAACCAAGGCAACAACCCTGTCTCAATAGGCCTGAAGCTCACAAGAGGGGGTGGGGGGACCCCCCAGAGCTGGGCTGGACTGTCACCCCCATCACTCAGTCCAGTGTGCTCCATTCCAGAGGAAGGAACAAGAAGTTCAGAGAGGGCATGGGCTTATTAGAGGTCACCCAGGGCCACGACCAGGCCCATCAAGAAAGAGGTCTTACTCCCTTTTGATTTAGCCCTGAGAAGTCTCAGTTCTCAGTTCTGAAAGCATCTTTTAGCTAAAAGCTAAAAGAATGAAATATTCAGATTTAGCCGTAAGTTGCAAGAAGAATAAAAATTAAATGCTCAAAGTCTATTGGCTTAAAGCCCAGTGCAAAGAAGTAGGATTATTAAAAACTCAAACGGTGTTAAATTAAAGTAAATGTATGCTTTAGTCCAGTTACTACGTGTGTGACAGAATAAACCCCATCACATTTCTGTACATGTTTCTCTAATTGCAATTGAAGTGGTGGTTAGAGCCTTCCTGGAGATAACTTTCTGCTATAAAACAAACTTCTGGGAGGCAGAAATCACATCTTAATCATCTCTACATTCCCAGCACATGGCATGGTCTGGTATATAAAAGGAGCCCAGGAAAGTCCTTGTTAAGTGAATGGCAGGGTGAATGACTGAATGATTTACGTGGAACAGTGAATGAAGATGTCTTACATGGCGCCTGGAAGCAAAGCGGGCATAAGTCTGGTCTCAGTGTGAGACTTAAGTACTGCCCAGAAAGGAATAGATGACTGTATGGTAGTGAGCTGACTATCAGTGAAGGAATTCAAGAAGCTATTGGTAGCAGAGATGCAATACAGGAAATGGATTGGTGTACTGGGTGGAAAACTACCCTCTATGGCCCCTTCCATCCCTGAAACCTCATAGCCCAGTTTCCTCGCTTCTGCTGACCAGGTCTTGCAAGGAAACAGTCTGACTTATCTATTGAGTCCAAATCCAAATTGGGAACACTGACCCCATGAGACCTTTGAAGGTTTGTTCCTGCTTCATTTTTGAATAATGAAGAAACACAACCAAAAGGGTTGGATCGGTGCAGTCAGGGCCTCCGTTACCCACTGGCAGAAGTGTCGTTCCAGGGGAAATGCTCAGACCGCCTCCCGGCCGCTGACTAGTGGTTCAAACCCCAGTTGGAGCAGCAGCCCCTTCCCTGTAACGGCTTAGACCTTAATATGGAGCTGCATCGCAGTATTACACTGGAAGCTTTTTGCAACACAAAGGAGTGGAGAAAGCCATAGCACATGTGTGTTAATTGGCACAAAACCAATGATGTGAATTTAGTAAAGAGAAAGAGGGACATAATTGAAATAAGGAGGGTGATTCTACCTTTATTCTAGTCAGTGAGTATGTTCCCTAGAGTGACAAATAAGAAAAGAGAATCTTCCATTCTCCCACGTGGCTGTTTTTCCCCTTGGCCTTCTCAGAGTATGAGTGCTGTTTGAATAGATTTTCAAGAGGGGTGTGTGTGTGTGTGTGTTAACTGTAATTTAATTCCTACTTACACTTTGACTTCAGAATGTACCTTAGTGTCAGTGAAAGATCTGGGAGGTATTCTAAATAGGAGGATCCTGAGAGGTGATGAGAGAGGTGCTCATACCAAACCCTGAGGAAGGCCTTGGGTAGTATGGGACCCTGAAGACAGGCATTGCCGCTGCGCAGCCTCAGAGGCAGGGTAGACCAGTGGCTCTGCAGCTATTGGTTAAAGTTACAGAATAGTTTTGGTCATAATGTGTTGAACTAGCAGCCAGCACTCACCAGAAAACGTGGCCCATCAATGTGATATTTCCTCACGACCTTTTCACAGTCCTTGTAGTTTAGCTGAAAAAGAGGACAGGAGATGCTTTCAGCGCAGTCAGGTTCATGCCATTGGTTCCCCTTCCTTGCCTGCCCCAGGAGCTCAGCAATTTGTGGTACTTGTGGCTAGCCAGGCTCCCCGCTCCCCTCCCTGTCTATCACAGGGGCCCTATCCTTACATCAGCCCCGCTTTCACTAACTAACCTCTTGGGACTTTAAAATGGAGAAATTGCCTGTCGAAGGCTTTGAGGCCAACCCCTACAGAAAGAATGCTGTTAGGGCTGCAAAGGGTTGGCCATATGCTCCTCCAACAAATAGAAAAGAATTAAAAGAAGAAAATAAAGAGTATCCATCATCTGGTCACCCAAAGACAATCTTGGTGAACATGGCAATGTGTCTCCTTCAGTGGTTTTTCCAAAGCATCTTTCTAAACATAATCAATGTTATCATTCATATTCAATCTCCTTATCTTGACTTTTTCTCTTGAAAAATAAAGGCACTGCCTCATGTTATTACAAAGTGATTTTGAACATTATTTTAATTTGCTCTATTGCTGAACACTTAGTTTCTTCCCCAAACTGCTGCTGTAACAGTGATAACTGAAACTTCTAATAATTACTAAACACTTGCTGTATGGTAGGCACCATTCTAAGTGTTTAAACCAATTTTAATCATTTAAGCTTCACATGTTTCAAATGGAGAGTCAAAGGCACAAAGAGTCAAGTAACTTATATAAGGTTCCATGGATAGGCAGGAGACAGAGGTGACACCTGGACTTTGGATCAAGGCTTTAACATCTCTATCAGGAATGTTCTCCTTTTAGTTACTAACAGTAAAACCTTCAAACGGTAAGTGAACAGACTTAAGAGAAGCTTAACCTACAAGATCGAAAAACATCATAGATATTCTTTTGCACAAAATTTTTTCTTCTATTTTAAATAGTCAGAGTCTCAGAATAGAATTACAGCCTCAACGAGAATGATCATTTTTAGAACCTGTTGCTTTCCTAGAGTCACATCAATTGACAGTTGAAGCAGGTGTCTGTTTGACCTAGTCCTCAACAGTCTAAGCATTTACTTTTGAAATATCTCTAAATTTGAGGTTTGTAGCTAGAGAATTTAAGGTAAAATGTTTGTCCTTGAGAATCTCAGCTTCTTCTCATAAGTATGGATTTCACAGTTTGTGGAGGCCTTCTTTTGGCGCAAACTTAAAATCATAACCTTTCCTTATGGCCAAGAAATCGAAAGAGTAAGTGCAGTTGTTGTGAACCTCACGGTGTGACAGAGTAGGGTGAATATTAGAAAGCTCGGAAAAAATTATTTAGTGGTCCTTGGGAAGAAATCAGCTTCTGCATAGCCCCAAACACCCCTTTTATCCATATTGCAACTGAGTGAAATTGTTCTTGAAATATTCAACTGCCTTTATTTTTTCTCCATTTATTTTTATTAGTTGGAGGCTAATTACTTTACAATATTGTAGTGGGTTTTGTCATACATTGACATGAGTCAGCCATGGATCAACTGCCTTTAATTCATCAATTTCACCATCAGCATTATCAGCTGAATCTCTGATTTTGCAGATTGCTGACTCGGACTCTAGATAGACAGACAGTCCTGCAGACTGGGGCCTGCCTGGAAGTTTGATTCTGAGTCAGTAATATCTAGGCCTGGGGGTAAGACCTCTGTCCTTTTAGCATGCATGCACGCATGCTCAGTCGCTTCAGTAGTATCCTACTCTTTGTGACCTTATGGACTCTAGCTCACCAGGCTCCTCCATCCATGGGATTTTCCAAGCAAGAATACTGGAAAATCTGGGGGATTCCCTTCTCCAGGGGATCTTCCTGACCCAGGGATCGAACCCATGTCCCCTGCATTGCAGGCAGATCCTTTACCGACTGAGGTCTCAGGGAAGCCCTGTCTTTTTAGCATATACACAGAATATTCTTATGAGTGACAAGCTCTGGTTGGTACTGCTCTGAGCAGGTACCTGGTGTTGTGGATAGGACAACTAAGGCCCAGAGAGTGGAAGGGACTGGCTGAAGGTCACAGTGAGTTGGGGGCACAGTTAGGATTAGATCTCATGGCTCTGATCCAGAGTCTTCTCCATTGCATGGTCCAAGGATCCCTTTCTGCTAAGTCAAAAGGAATTAGAGGACTTAAAGAAATAGAAAACATGACCTCAGTCCTCAAGTTCCAGACAAAGGATGAGCTGCACATGTCTGAGATCGTAAGACACAAAAGCCCACTGGTCTGCAGGGAGCGCCCAGCCAGGGCCCAGTGAACAGAGTAGGAGAAAGGGAAGCTCGAACACCAACTGGCCCCCTCTCTGCTGGAGGCCTCACACACGCATTTCCTTTATTTATCCCAACAATCCCATGAGTTAGTCACTGTTAGTAGCTCTGTTTTACTGATGAGGAAGCCAAGGCTCAGAGAGGTATAGTAACTAAGGGAGGGTCACCAAGCTTGCGGGTGGCAGAGTCGGGATTGAAGCCAAGGTATGGCTGACTCCAGAGCTGGCTGGGGAGGTGCCTCCAAGGGGGCCCTGGCCCCAGCGCTTCATTAGAAAGTAAACCTGCTGGGATTTCCCTGGGGGCCAGTGGCTGACTCCAAATATAGGGGGTTGGGTTCATGCCACAACTGAGAGATCCAGCATGTCACAACGCAGATCCTGCACACCACAACTAAAACCCAGCACAGTCAAGTAAAGAAATAAAAATAAATTAAAAGGAAGAAAAAGAAAATGGCATGCCTAAATCAGAAACATGACACACTCCTTGATTTATAAAAAAAGAAAGAAAGAAAAATTGCCTCTGCCAGTAGGACTTTGGTGGCTAAGATCCATCCCCAAAGGACTCCACGGTCAGTTCACTTAGCATTTTCTCTCTGGGGGAGGTGAGATGCTCAGTATTTGAAGGGTGTCTATCTGGGTCTGTAGAAGGGCTGGAACTTCCTAGACCACAAACACCCTTCAGTCTCCTCTTTCCTGCCTTCATGCTGGGAAGGGAACTTGTTCAGTTTCTGTGGACGTGATCTGGAGTCTAGGGTCTGTAAGAAGAAAATTCTCTCTTCCCCCAACTCAGGCAGAGAGCATCTACGTGAATCATCCTGAGCTGTAGGCCATCTCCCTGTCCTAAATGGAACTTTGCCCTTGGATTCTTCAGTTGCTGCCCCAGGTTGTGCAATTCTCCTTCCCAGACTGGAGACTGGGCCTCTGGCCCATCAGCCTGTCCGCAAGTGTGACCTTGCTAATTCTCAATTCTTTTCTCCTTTCTTTATTGATCTAATATGCCACTTTATAGCATCTTAGTGAATTTCACTGTGGCCCTCAGTTATTTGGTCTAGATTTAAGAAAAAAGTATTTAGAATAAATACTTTTGACTCTTTCAAAAGTCGGCTGTCTCAACGATCTTTGCACCCGCTGTGTTGAAATCTGTTTATTATGAGTTCCAGTGAGGGAAAAATAACAGAAACGAGATGCACAACAAGCAGCAAATACAGGATCTGTGGGCTGTGCCTCTATTGTGCCACACCCAAGTCAGCATTTTCACATTTTTCTTAGGGGAGAACAGTTGTGACACTAAATACTTTGGTACTTGTAGACCCCAGGTTTGGGTATGGGTTACAGGGAGTCTACCCCATACCAGGAAAAACATCGGAGGTCATGACTTAAAACCGTATCTTTGTGATATTCTGGAGTATCCACTGAATTGGATGCCAGCCTCCAGAAATGGGAGTGTTAAGAGCTCAGTGGTCCCTCATGAGACATCGTATCCCTTGGATAGTCATAGAGGGTCACGTGGCTTGGGATCTGCCCGAGCAAGCCTGTGACCCATGCTCCCACCCCAGCAGATGACCAAACACAAGGATCCTTGAGCTCCTTCAAGACGAGAAGGCAGGACAGCAACACTCTGGTCTCAGCTCTGCCACAAGCTTGGCCCCTGACCCTTCCCGGCAAATCTTTTCCTTTTGAGGGGACTCAGTTTCCTTAGCTATAACCTGAGGCTCATGTCATTTCCCAGCCTGCATCATAAGACCCGCGTGAAGTTCCCATGAGACTCTGTTCTAGGTAAGTGGTTAAAGTCACAAGCAATGACTTGCTCAGACGCCATCTCCAGCATCATTCATCATAGTCTTTCACCCTTCCTTTCCTCTCTCCTACCCCGCAAGACTCCATATTTCCCTTTCGAGCAAGAAGCCTTGATCTCACTAGCAGTTATAGCAGTCTGAGTCTCAGGGCACGTTGAAACTGGACAGGTGTGACCAGAATCCTGCCTCCATCACATGCAGTCCCTGGGGCTTGGGTCCAGTTAGCTTCCTTGAGCTTATTTTGCGGCTGAGCCAGTAGGACAGCAATCCTGGAGCGAGTTAGACGCGACTGTGCTTGAAGAGGACAGACTCAAATCCTAGCATGTAGTAGGTACTTGCCCCTTGAGGGCCTCCCTTCTCCCCCAGAACATACTGCCAGAGAGCTCAGTGCTGCTCCCTCAGAGAGACTGCACAGGGCTGGAAGCTCCCCGCTGTCTTTCACGCCTCTCGCATTCTGCCGGCACTCCCTCTGCCCAGCCTCCCAGCCACCGAAGAGCAAGGCTTACCTTTTTGAAATAGTCTGCAAGGGTGTCAGGGTCCCAACTCAGGACCTCAGTGCGAAAGGGCACGTTCTTGAATGCCATGGCTGCTCGCTCAGGATGAAGCTCACCAGCTGAACACGGGCGCTGCACCCATGGACAGAGAACCCCAAATCCAGAGTGTGGAGGTGTCTTCAGCACTTCCAACTCCCGGGTACCCTCTGGAAAACTCTAGTTGGAGCCAATGTCCTTTCTGTTGTAGCCAGATCCCAGAAAGCAACAGCTTCCTCTGCGAACAAATATGGTCTCTTCTCAGAAAACGACTCAGCAAGTTTCCTTTACCACTTCCTCTGCTGGGCCCTAAATAAGTAAACAAGGAAGCTCGGCTCTGGGGACTCAAGAGGCAGAAAGAGCTGCAGGCTGGCAATTCCCCACTGGGCCCCATCCACCCCAGCCCAGTAGGAGGAGCGATGAAGGGGACTTAGACACCCAAGTAGGTTTCCTTTGAAATCCCTGGCATCCATATGTTTAAACCACATTCCTGCCTGGGTGGGTGTTTGCAGATGAAAAATCTAATTTGACGGTTCACCGAAAATACAGACAATCTCCCACATCAGTGAAGGGGAAGGAACATGACCTTTAGTGCTCTCCAACCGCCGCTCAGTTTCTCTCAAAAGTGTAAAGTTGAGCTTCTTTAGCTGCCCCTTATAGTTACTGCAAGTGGATCCTCTGAGTAAGTGAGCTGGGGTCCAGAACTGGAGCACCGCTGGGAAGCCCTGGGCTTCATTTCTTTCTTTCTTTCTTTCATCTTCTTCTTCATTTGTTTATTTGGTGGCACCAGGTCTTACTTGCAACACGCAGGATCTTTGGGTGCAGCATGTGGGATCTAGTTCCCTGACCAGGGATTGAACCTGGGCCCCCTGCTTTGCAAGCATGAAGTCTTAACCACTGGACCAGCAGGACAATCCCCAGGCTTCATTTCAGATATACCTGTCTCCTTGCTGGGCAACCTCAGGCAAGGACTTAAACTCTAGGAAGCTCAGTTTCCATATGTGTAAAACAGGAACAGAAAAATTGCTTCATATGCACATAAAACTTTAGATGCGTTTAACTAGACGAACTTAAGAAAGGAAAAAAATAACAATTGCTACTGATGTTGCCATATAGTCTAGTCACTATTGTTCCCTCTAGACATTCTATCTGCTATTTGTTCAGCCACGTTTCTATCTAAAGAGCACAGCCCTGGAGACAGGAGATGGGAGTCTGGGTTCTCTCTCGGTTCCTCAGACCCTGTGCACTTACAGCTGAGCATCTCCTTGACTGAGGGTGAACCCAGTGTCAAAAGCAAACGTATCTACCTGTGTAACACCACAGGATCCAAACACGAGTTCACCACTCTATCTAGTGCTCCACAGACACACACAGACGGTCTGTCCTGATGTCTGAGTCTGTTGCATTTACTGAGTTGGCCCCTGAAGTGATGCCTTCCTTAAGCTTTTTCAAAGATCGCTTTGGCCATGCAGTTTCCATCTTATACACAATCTCATTGTTATGCACCAGTCTCGCCATGTCTTCATGTAAATGAGATTTGCCCTTTATCCCGGACTAAGCACCTTTCTGGACGTGGTCCATGAATCTGAGCTAACGTCACCTTCACCTCCAAGGGCGCCAGAGGCATCAGCTGAGACAGCCCAGGCCGAGCACGTCTCAGCGCAGGGACCTCAGTGCTCTCCACAGCTGAGTGTGCCCCAGAAAGCATGGCCTGCTGATCAAAATTTCTACCACGAATGGGGGAGGTCCCTGCACTGTTTAAATCCCCAGAAGAGCAGCAAGTGATAAAAAGCCCTTCTGAAAAGAGAGAAAGAGAGATAAGTGACTTCCACATAAAGAAGTCAAAGAAGATATCACAGAATTACCTGGGATTTAAGCAGGGCCTTGGAAGAGGCAGCTGAGGGAAGGCATTCTGAACCCCTGTGTGATGTGATGTGGCATGGTATGGAGTGTGTGTGTGTTGGGCTATGCTTCATGAGCAAACAAAACCTGCCACACCTGTGCACTCCTGTGGAAAGGAACATTCAAGATCATCCTCAGAAAGAGAAGCAATGTTTTAAATGATGTTTACCCATACTCCCAAGAATCCAAATCTACAGAAAAGCAGAAGTTGGAGTTAACTTACAGTTAAGCATGAGGTTCTTTTGGAATAATTATCCTATGAATGTGGCCAAGATGGACAATCTCTGCTAAGTCACTTCAGTCGTGTCCGACTCTGTGTGACCCCATAGACGGCAGCCCACCAGGCTCCCCCGTCCCTGGGATTCTCCAGGCAAGAACACTGGAGTGGGTTGCCGTTTCCTTCTCCAATGCATGAAAGTGAAAAATGAAAGTGAAGTCGCTCAGTCGTGTCCGACTCTTAGCAACCCCATGGACTGCAGCCTACCAGGCTCCTCCGTCCATGGGATTTTCCAGGCAAGAGTACTGGAGTGGGGTGCCATTGCCTTCTCCAGGACAATCTCTAGACCCATGTAAAAGAGACATAGCAGTTAAGAAAACTGGATGACAGTGATGACAACGGGAATCACCAAGAATCACTGTGCCAAGGAGTAGCCTGAGGACTCTGCACTAACCGTGGGCACTGTTACCACTCCTGCTCACAAAAGAGAAAACTCAGGCTCAGGGAGGTAAAGCTTCTTGCTGCCCTTACACCCAGCAAGTAGGTGGTGCAGCAGGTCTTGTCTGGAACTCTCTCTGAGTCCAGAGCCCCTGCTCTTGACCTCTGTACCACCTTGGGACTCTGAGATGTTCCATAAATTGCACAAGGTGGAACGGAGGTTCAAACCCGGCTGGGTCTCCAGAGCCTATGCAGCGTCCTCTCTATCTGTCTGCCTTCCACAAAAAGCAGGCGAGGCTGGCAACCAGGGCTGGTTAAGAAGAGAACACAGCACTTTCTCCGAGGCAGGTCTTCGATGCCCCCTTCCGGCAGGGTCACAAACCCATTCCCCAAAAAGGGCAGCTGGACCAGGAGCGCAGGTGGCGCAAGGGGAAGTGGGTTGCTTCAGCTGGAGCCTTTCCACTTCCCCAGTCCTTGGTGATTTCCCAACACTCACGAGTTTCACAGCTCCTGTCCCTGGCTGGAGAATTCCAGAAGTTCCAGGGGCGGGACCAGCTGGCACGCAAGAGAGGCTTGGGATAGCAGGAAGACCAGAGTAACCTGGGGCAGTTCAGCTCACTTGGCCTGGCCCCAAGTTCCACACTATAAAATGGGCAGTCATGAGAGCAGAGCAGATGCCGGGGCGAGGCAGGCTGGGGCCAGCTCACAGTGGGCCTGCCTTCAAGCACGAAGCAGGGCAGAGAACAGGGCGCAGGTAAGGTTAGGTGATATAGAGCTGTGGCTTGGCGGGTGGACACCCTCTCCCATCTCTCTCCAGCCAGAGGGAAACACAGAACTCATGAGGGGTTTTGCTCAAACTGAAAGGTTATGGAGGACTTCTAAGGCTTTGCAATCTCTTTCTCCAGGTTAGGGCGATGGTGAATGGTCTGTGCACAATAACAGCAATTCATATTAGTACATGGGGATGGGGGTTCTTGGGGTAGGGATCTTAAATGTACATCCAACAGAGCCTATGGACAAGAAAGCAAATCTTGCAGGGAGCAACATGTCAGAGTTTTAGGTCTTAGAGACAAAAAGTGGCTATGGAGTAGTGCACACTGCAACCAGAGTTGGGGGAGGACCTCCTAATGTGCCCCCCACCCCACCCCACCCTGGCCAGACTTGAAGCTCTTTTTCCTACTAACCCACAGAAGAATTAGATGAGGAGATAACTGCCTTTCTTCACAGCTAATTTTAGAAGTGAGAAAAGCACAGTTTGGTAGAAGAGGCTTGTGGGTTGCGGCCTCAGGGGGTGGGGGTGGGCAGGGATAGGAGCTGTCGCTTGGGCACCAGGGAGAATGGAAGCGTAGAGACCGTGATGGAGAGCCCGCGTTGACGTTTTTAGGAGAGGGACCCACGGAGCTGGAAAGTGGAAGGGAGGACATGCTTATTCGGATGTGATTTGGACAGAGGGTATTGGCTGGGGAAAAGAGACAACACGGGGACCTGTGGCCCAGAGAGGGTGGCCCCTCGGGGCACGCGGGCCGTGGGGAGAACGTCCTCACAGGGGTTCACCCCAGCTTCGCCTCCTGTTCACCTCCATCCACCTGTTACGGCTCCATGGGTCCCCTGAGGCCAAGGCGAATCGCTCCTGGAAGTTCCCCTTGGGGCCTGTCCGTGTTTGTCTATAGTGGGAAGAAGAGCTGTAGCTGTCAGCCCCCAGGGAGGGGCCCATTCTCCCCGCTGCTCTCCGGGGCCGGCACTGGAGGCACCCTCTGTGTGGAGCCCCTCTGGATACTGAGGGCTCCACCCACACGGGAGGTTCCAGCGCGGGCACAGGACGGGCCCTGGCCGTCGGTGAGCTGGCCGCCCCGGCACCGCGCGGCCGCAACTAGGCAGGGGGCCGCCTGGGGCAGGCCTGCCACGCGCTCCCCACGCTCCTGGAGGCTGGAGCCCCAGGGCAGCCCTTCCCCAGGCCGCCCTGCGCTCTGTCCTGGCGACCACCCCCGTCTGGACACAGTCACTACCCGTCCCGGGAGGTGCAGCAGGAAAGCATGAACCAGTTGGTGCTTGTGAGGTAATGAGGAGCAATAGTTTCCACTTCCTCAGAGCTGACAATTTCACTCTTTTCAAAAATTGTGTATTTTTCAATCCTCTCTCTGTGTCTCTTTCTCGGCTGTTTTGGCTGAGGTGCGTCAGAATGTGGAAGGTGGGTGTGAGGAAGTGCTTATTTGGACTTCCTGTCAAGCCTGTCTTCCTCATTTGCCCTATATTTCGCTTTGGGCAGCCTATCCCCAGATAGCTCTGCCGTGAAGGGAAACTCCCCAAGTGCCCGCAAGGGTGGGTGGGCTGTGGGCAGAGAGGGGAAGGCAGGCTTCTCAGCTTGATAGAGGAGAAAAAAACCTTGACCCCCCTCCTCCCCCTCCCCAGGCAAGCTGGAGAAAGGCAATGGAGGGGGGTAGATGCGTGCCAGAAAAGCGAAAGCAGTGCTACCCGAAGCCCAGGAACAGGGACTGTG